GTCAGACTCTTCAGCCATGGGTTCTTCTACTCCATCCTCATGCTGCCAACTCCCCAGCCCTGGCTCCTCAGTCTCAGCATCACTGCTTGCCAAGCCAGAGTGAGAGGCTGCCTCTTCCAGGCCATTACTGGGCAGGGCAATGACCTGAGCACTCATCAGAGCTTCCATCTCTTCAAAGAAGGGGCAGGTCTCAGGTGGGTGGCCATTCTTGACTTTCCGATAGTTCTTCTGAAGACCTTTGAACTTGGTCCGACACTGTTCCAGGGTCCGGAGGAAGCCATACTCGCGGAGCCGCTCAGCCACAGCCCCATATACTTGGCTGTTTCGATGACAGTTTCGGAGGGCCTCATAAAATTCAGTCTGACTAAGAATTGCAAGGAGAGTTCTGGTCTCTTCATAGCCCCAATGCACACCTGCCACCTTCTCATCCTCAAAGCCCCAGTGATCCTGTTCTACCCAGCGTCTTTTCTCTCTCCTGGATGGTAACATGTCAGCATGCATTTGTCTGTCTCCTGTGAGATTGCCTTTTGGGAGTTCCTTTTCCTTGGAGCCCAGATCTGGGATCCAAGGTTCTCCTTGCTCCAACTTGGAGACCACACCGGATTTAGGAAATGGAAATCCTGCTTGCAGGGAAGCAAACAAAGGATATCATAGTTTGGAATGATCATTAAAATGATAATAATAATCTCTGAGTTCAGACCTGCCTTTTTTATAGAGGCTTATAAACAGTGTGTAAGAAATTTTTTTCAGAAAGTTCAATATGCTGAAGAAAATGGTTGAAAATACATGAAACATCAAAAAATGAGAAATACTGTATTGTCCAAAGCAGGGTGTGACAAGAGAGGAAAAGGTCTGTTGTAAGCTTAGAGCAGATAATTCTGTCTCAAATTGCTCCCTAGCCTCCCTGACCACTTGAAGGTAGATCATGGCACTGCTGGGAACAGTCACCTCCTGTCTCTTAGAATTCTCCACTTGGGGCTAAAAAATTAAACTCAGATTTCAAGGGGGAAGGGAGCATGGGGAAATCATCTTCAACTCCTCTGTTTCCTTCACACTCAGCCACCAAGTTCTAAAGGTTTTTTCCCTTAGTATGTACTCTGTTCCTACTGCCACCACCCAAGTCTAGACTCCTCACCTTCTCACAACCCAGGTAACTGCAGCAGTCACTGTCCTACGTAGCTCCAGGCTCTTGCTTTCTCAGCTCATGTGCTATACTGCTGGACCTTAACCTGAGTGCCTACTATGTACTGTCCATTCATATCAGACTCCTCCCCTCCTGTCCACATTTAACCCATTCTTCAAGCATATTTGCCAATGCCCTCCCCCATCTTCCACTGCCAAACCCCTGCTGTACTTGTACAAATGAGTAACAAGTCATTGTTTAGCATTGTCTCAGTACAGTTTAGTTCAGCATATCTTTATGTTTGCTGTTATGTTCTCAATCATATTATAAGCTCTTTAAGGATAGGCATCTTTTCTTATTGCAGAATACCTTGCAAGGTGTTGAGTGCATGGTAGGTAGGTGTTCAAAAGCTGATTCATTCTACAAACCTGTGTGTGGCGTTGAGGGAACAGAGACTATTACCAAACTGATTGAGAAGGCTAGACTCTTAGACAATAAGATCAGATTTCAGAACAACCTCAACAAGTTAAAGAAATGATCAAAGAAAAAACATACAATATGGAGTTCAACAGAGCACAAAGTAGAAAAACAAGCTCTACAAAATCATGTACAAGAATAAGCACTAGACACAGACAATGGGGAAGGCTATGAGAGTCCTGGCAATTACCAAGTGAACAATAATCATCAAGTAATTAGTTGAGCTATACTGAAAGACAATGTGAAATTCTGAAGTAAAACTCTTACTCTGCCTCAACCTATCAGACCCTTACTGGTATAATATATACATATAACTTAGTTTTCCACAACTGACATATTTGGAGACTTCAAGTTTCCAAGGGACAGTAACAAAATCTTAGTACATCTGAGCCCTGACTGGTGTGGCTCAGTGGGTTGGGCGTCGCTGGGCAAACTGGAAGGTAACTGGTTTGATTCCAGGTCAGGGCAAATGCCTGGGTTGCAGACCGGTCCCCCTCTCCCACTGGAGGTGTGCAAGAGACAACCAATGCTAGAAGCAACCAATCGATGTTCCTCTCACACACTGATGCAGTTCTTTCCCTCTCTCCCTCTCTCTCTAAAAATAAATTAAAATCTTCTAAAAAATTAAAAGACTTAATACATCTGAATAATGGAGCTCCTGGGAGAAAGCACAAAGAAATAGTTCATTTTAAAGAAGGAAAATGACTAAAAGGAAGATGTACTTTCAAGTATAGAAAATAATTTTTATCTAGAAAATACTGACTTGGTATCATCATTACAAAGAGGAAATAAAATATCTCAAAATTCTGATAAAAACTAGGGAACCATCCTCTGGCAGACTTATCAAAAGAGGAAATATAAGAATTCTCACTGCAGCGGAGAGCTAAACTACATGCCTTCAGGAAGTCCCCAACAACCACATACTCTATAATTGTCACTCATTCTGAAATCCCTTTTCTACTCACTATTCCCAGCCCTACTTCCCACCTTAGAATGGAATCCTATCCTCCCATATGAATCTACTCCTCACCGCTCCTTTGAAAAGGTCTGAGCTTCTCCTTTGGATTCATCTGCTCCTGTGGTCCCAGGTCTGGGCTTCTTGCCCTCTCTTTCTTGGGTACACCCCTGGACTGGGGTTCCACTGACTCCTGCCGAACACTTAATAACTCTTGTGATGATTTCATGGGTGTCATCTTCTCCAAGCGCACTTCCTGCCCCTTCACAGAGACTGTGACCTAGAAACAACCCCCGTCAATTGTCACTGCAAGGTTAGAATGAGGAGCATTCCCAGAGGAGATTATTTAATACCCTCCAAAAAAACCACCATCCTTTTGGGATATGTCTAGTGGTGGTGGTGGTGGTGGTAGTGGTAATAGCCAACAAGAGTCATTATTATTCCATTACTGTTAGCTTAGAGCAGCTGGAACAGCAATAGGAAAAATCAAAATAGTAAACCCAACTATAGGCTAAAAAATAAATCCCCTTTCTTCTCTACTAAATAAAAAACTATGAATCTATGAATAACTCATGATGACAAGGTAGCAAAGATACAACCACGTAGCATCTCCAGATAAGCTGTATCTGAAAAAGTTCCCTGTTCCAGGACCAGTATAAGCATTACCAAGGAACACTGTAGCCCTCTTTAAAAATGTCTGTACCTTCATTTGGCCCTTTGGCCTTGCCCCTGCCCAAACACTTCTGAATTCCCCCTCCCTTCTTACCGAACGTCCAGGTCTTCCAGGCTGTCTTTCTAAATCTTCCACCAGAGCCACAGCCTCCTCTCCATTTTCTGGACATTGCTCCTGTACCCACTTCTGGATCTCTCCAGGTAAGATGGCCAGGAACTGCTCTAGCACCAACAACTCGACAATCTGCTCCTTGGTGTGCACCTCTGGCCTCAGCCACCGACAGCAAAGTTCCCAGAGTTGGCTGAAAGCCTCCCGGGGACCAGCTACCTCCTGGTAATGAAATTTCCTGAAGCGCTGTCTGAAGGTCTCAGAGTTAGTGCCATTCCCTCTCAGAGCAGGTTTGGCCATCATTCACAGCAGAAAGCAGCTTTCCTCCACTTAAGGGTCTATGTTCCAGAACTTACACCTATCTTCCCATGTCCTTGGAAAATCACTTGCAGATGAGTGTAAGTTTCCGCCTAGGGTAGAGAGAGATGGCACTATCAGAAAGAATATATTCATACGTCTAAAGTCTTGCCATAGCTGGCCTGACTTCCCAAATATATGCTCCATGTGGCCAGCTGAGGTAGCACCAACTTCAGAATAGAAAGCCAAAACTGAGCATGGAGAGAAAAGTTTCAAAAACTGCATTTCTGGGCGATTTCCCAGGGCGGCCTGGAGAAACAGCAGAGAAAAGAAAGCAGTCTGCTCCTCTTCCCCCTCCCCCAAATCGGATCCCATTTAGCTCTGACCAATGTTTCATAGTGGGTTCGAACTACATGGGAGACCTGAGCTCAGGATCTAATGGCAAGTCACCATCCTGCTCAAGGCAACAAAAAGCCTCTGTCCAGCGGGTCGCAGCTGATCTTTCCCAGTACCTCCGTAGTCCTTCCCCAGGCCTCTACGTCCTCCCTGCCCCCTCGGACTCCACACCTACCAAGTCCCACCCCAGGCAAAACTCAAAGACTGAAACTTTGTTTTTCCTCAAAACAGAAGTAATCGCTCAACAAATATTCGGAAACTAGTGATGGGAAACCTCGCGACTGGGAGAAGTTGGTTTTGGCTCCTGAAGCGAGAACCGGGTGGGCTTGGGGAGAGTCGCACTGAGCTGGTTAAGAGAGAGAATCCGAGGGGGCAGTAGTAATGGGTCTCCTGAGGACGAGCTCAGGTGTTGGCCAGGAGGTCCGAGTGCTGTGGAATTCGCGGGCGCGGAACTCAGCTCAAGGAGCCGCGGGTGCGGGGTTCGGCCTCTTTGTCTTCGCTCCCTCTGGCCAGGTCACTCTCGGAGCCGTGGTGCAGTGCCCTCCAGAAACCTCCGACCCGGCTAAGTGGCCTGAGAGCACCCTCCGGCCCACCGCTGGAAGTGTCTCTTTCTCGGGTTGTCCCTCAACCCACTTGCATTTCTGCCCACGGGCCAGCGTCATCCACCCGGGTCGGCCCCAAGCCAGGCTCTCTAGCCTTGTCCAGCTCTCAAACCGGAAGTCCGAACGGGTGACTCCAACGCCAGGGCGCATGCGCAAAGTCGGCAGCCGCACTCTTCTTGTGGAGCTCGGTTTGCCGCCAGCGGGTGAGCCCCGTCAGCGCCGCTTACTTCCGGAACGCGGCTCTCCGACGCTTTCCTTGCTTCCCGTCTGCTCTTCCCGCAGCTATCGTCTCGGCGGGTACATTCCAGAACCGTCAGTTCCAGGGGCCTGTACGCGTGTTGGGAAGGGGACACTGGACTCTGTGGTCGCCTTGAAGGGCACTGGAGGAAGGAGTGACGCATAGAGGGACTCGAGGTCCGCGGTGGGAATGATCCACGAACTGCTCTTGGCTCTGAGCGGGTACCCAGGATCTATTTTCACCTGGAACAAGCGCAGTGGCCTTCAGGTACGGTCCGGCTCAGAGGGCGGGAACTAGCGAGCGCAGAATGGGTAGACCTGAGCCAGTGCTTGGGGGAGGAGTCTGAGGTACTCAGAGGGCAGGACCTGCGGGGGCTTTGGGGGCGGGAGGCGTGTCCCTGGGCCTGTGACTAGAGAGGCCTCCTGGAGACAAGCACTCGGTGAGAGGGTTGGGCCTAGTCTGGGAAAATGAGGGCAGACCCAGAGGGGCTCCGCCTTCGGGGAGGGAGAGGGAGACCCGGAACGGCTTAAAGTTAAGCAACAGTTTCTGGGGAACTAACTGAATGTAAAAGTGAGGAAGGCGCTTTCTCCCATTTTCACACTTGCACTGTGTTTTAAATTGAGTTTTGAAAACTAGACCAACTACGTAGCGTTTAACAAACAATAAGGGCTCAGCCAATTTTGTTGAATGAAAAAATGAATAAGTGTGTCTCTCTCATGACTCCTTTCTCAGGAAAATTCTGCACTAGGAGAATCTGCGGGGGCCCGTCATGTAACCAGGAATGTATGAGGAGGAAGGGCTATGTACTATATGCATTATCTAATTTAGTCTTCATAACCACCTAATTCCATATCACAAGTTAACTCCCTGTGACTCGCAACTGGTAATTAGCAAGCTTGATCTTGAAGGTCTGTCTGGATCCACTATCTGAATTACTCTTTTCTACTTCTGTTTCCAGTAGTGTTATCTAATCATCTCAATAAGTTAGTAACTAGATATTGTTAGCTCCAGTTCACATACAAATGAGCAAACTGAAGTTCAGAGAATTTATGGTGGCTAGTCCTGGTAATAGCAAGATTTGCATATAGCTTTGTCTGGTGACAAGGCCATGCTTATTCCTATGAGAATTGGCAGTAGAGCCTGGGGAAGAGCAGAAAAACAACATTATTAGGCTATAAAACCTTTAAATCGAAGCAATCCCTTTTATTATTCCTTTTCCTCTAAAAACTAGCACAATGACAGGCATATAGGAGAAAAATGTCCAGGAATTATTTGTGGGTGCTTTGTGACATGAAGTAAAAAGAGATAATAGTATAGGAAAGAGAGCTACCTTTCTTTCTTATAAAAAAAGTTCCAGTCAGAGATTTTCTTGCTTAAGTTCCCAGCTTTAAAGCCACCTCCTCAGAAAAACTTTTTCTGACCATTTTTTTTAATGTATCCTCCCCTTATGCCATTATTTGCTATCCCAGAAACTTGTTTATTTCCCTTATAGGATTTAGCATAATTCACATTATTTATTGTTGTTACCTGTTTCTAGTCTTCCTCTCTCACAGATTGCCCATAGGAGCAAAGATCACAGTGGTCTTCTTCATAGGTGTACCAGGAGCACCTGGCACAGTTTCTGCCAGAGTAGGTGTTCAGATACTTATATAAAAAGAGGCCACCCAAACCAGAAAATCTTGCATACCTTCTGCAGAGCAATGGTTTTCAGTCTTAAAAAGGAAAGAAATTCTGACAAACGCTACAACATGAATGAAACTTGGAGCTACTACTAAGTGAAATAAGCCAGTCACAAAGCACAAATATTGTATGCTTCCACTTATTTGAGGTACTTTGGTCAAATTCATAAAGACAGGAAATAGAAGGGTGGTTGTCGGGAGCTGTGGGGAGGGAGAACAGGGAGTCTTTGTACAGTGGGTACAGAGTTTTGGTTTGGGAAGATGAAAACGATCTGGAGATGGATGAATGGTGGTGATGGCAGCACAACAATGTGAATGCACTTAATGCCAAGAACTGTACACTTAAAAATGGCTACTATGGTAGCTTATATGTATATTTTGCCACAGTTTTTCTGAAAAAGTTGGTTGAATGGATACATTTTCCCACTACTTTTTTCTACTTGAACTGCTGTGTAACTTTTATATAGCATACTAGGCTATCATTTGGCTATTATTTAAATTAAAAACACAAATAAAAATATGGACACTAAATGTATATGTCCAGTTATAAGGTGCTTTTATAGATTACAGTATGCTACATTTATTTACATTTTTATTGAAATGAAAACAAGGTTTAAAATTTTATAGAGAAGTTATTTTAAGAATATGTTTGAGAAACTCCTGAAGTTTGCTGAAGACATTGCTAAAGACAACCTTTTTTCAACGGGTCAAAACCTCATATCTTTAAAGAACATCCCTGAAATGTTGCATAAGAAACAAGTAGGTCCTGGCTGGGTCGCTCAGTTGGTTAGAGCATTGTCATGATATGCCAAGGTTGAGGATTCAATCCCCAGTGAAGGTACATAGAAGAATCAACAATGAATGCATTTATAAATAGAACAACAAATCAATCTCTCTCTCTCAAATCAATAAGTAAAATTTTTAAAATGTATGTATTTTTTTAGCCCTGGCTGGTGTAGCTCAGTGGATGGAGCCCAGGCCTGTGAACCAAAGGGTCACAGGTTTGATTCCCAGTCAGGGCACATGCCTGGGATCCAGGCCAGTTCCCCAATAGGCGGCATGTAAGATGCAATCATACATTAATGTTTCTTCCCCCCTTTCTCCCTTCCTTTCTCTCTCTCTAAAAATAAATAAATCTTAAAAAATATATGTATGTTTTTTTTTAAAAAAGAAACATATAATAGCTGCCTCTGGGGGGAGGCTGACTTATTTTTTTATTATTCTTTAAACTTATTGACTTTGGAGAGGGGGAGGGAGAGAAAGAAACATTGATCAATTTATTGGTTGATTCTTTAAAAAAATCTTTTTAATTGATATTAGAGAGGGAGGGAGGGATAGAGAAACATTGATTTGTTATTCTACTTATTTATGTATTCACTGGTTGCTTCTTGTATGTCCCAGGCTGGAGATTGAACCCACAGCCTTGGCATATCAGGAGGACACTCTAATCAACTGAGCTACCCAGCCAGGGTTCATTGGTTGATTCTTGTATGTGCCCTGACCTGGGATGGAAGTTGGAACCTCAGCATATGGGGATGATGCTCTAACCAACTGAGCTACATGGCCAGGATGAGGTTGTACACCATTTTGTATTGTTTGAATGTTTTACCATGTGTTATCACTTATTTCAATAAAGAACTAATTAGGTCAGGGATGGGGAATAGCACCTTTGTAGTGGTTTGGAAATACTTTTGTTACCCAGAACTTACCAATCTTAAATTAAATGGGCATTTTGAAAAAGGAAATGATAAATAGTACAGAACATTTGAAAGACCTGAAAGACCAGCATGTAGTGAATCAGGCACCAGTGTTTTCAGCCTGCTTCTTCTCCTGCAGGTGTCACAGGATTTTCCATTTCTCCATCCCAGTGAAACCAGTGTCCTCAGTCGACTCTGCCGCCTGGGCACAGACTATATTCGCTTCACTGAGTTCATTGAACAGTACACAGGCCATGTGCAGCAGCAGGTAGGTTCCTGTTCTCAGGGAAGGTGCACCTCCAGAGGGCAGGAGCTATGTCAAGATTTTGGTGAATCTGCTGGTAATTCATGTGAAATAAGTCACAAGAAGTTACAAATTTCTCATCACTAGAATTACTCAAATGAAGGCCAGAGGTCTGTATCTCACATAAGGGGAAACTATGTAGAGGGAATAATTTAGGCAGATTGGTGTGAGAGAAAATTTGTTTTGCCTGAGTTTTAGAGGGCCAGAATTAAGTTATTTTGAACTGGACCACAGTTCCAACTCCAGAAGTGAAAACATAAAGCATTATTTCAGATTCCTTTGCCACTTTGCTTCTGACTATTTTAGCCACATTGAGGCAAGCAACTAGAATCTTTGGGTTTCATTTTTAAAATTTGTAAATAAAAGGGTTAAACCAGAGAAGGCACTTGGCACATAGTAAGCACTTGATAAATATTACCCATTATTATCAATTAATTGGAAGTCAGTATAGAGGTCAAGAATTTGTGTCCTGCTCCATCACTCACTGGCCATAGACTGCTTAGCAGTAACCTAATTCTCAGTAACTAGGGCTCAGTTTTGTTATCTATAAAATGGGGATAATAGATAGTACCTATTTCATAGGGTTTTAAAGATTGAACAAAGTAATTCATGTGAATGCCTGGTAGAGGGAGCACTCAAAAATTTTTAAAGAGATATTTTACAGTTCTCTTTATTCTTAACCATCTGTAATTCTTGTCAGTGGTAAGGAAAAAGACTGCTGAATTGTATGACTGATTCAGTGATGACTCTTTTCCAGTTGAAAGAATGATTCTGATTTAGGGAAAAGGTGAGGACTTCAATGCAGTCAATACCCTCTGGACCCAGAGGGTAAATTTGTTATCAGGCCTTTGGTGTGTCGACTAATGGTTGTTTCAGCCAGTGCAATGACAAGAATCTCCAATTTGGGGTGCAGTAAAGAAGGACACTTCATTCAGTGCACAACAGCTCAATTGTCATACAGCACAGCTGTGAGAACAGCATGGCTGTAGAACAGATCTGAGGCCAGTCAGCCCTGAGGCTGGGCCTCTCTCCAGCTAGACTGCTGTATTCTGCTTCTTGATGATCTGCTTTGAACTACGCTGGTCTGCTCTACTCTGCTCTGGCAAGACATCTTCTGTGTTTCAGCTGAGCCAGGGAGAAGCAGTCTGCAGTCTTCACTGGAAAGAGAAAAAGGTGATCTCTGAGCCAGAAATGAGCTGGCTTACATGGACAGAAGCCCATGTCCCTGATCCCTGACGAGTCCATCCTCCTGTAGATGAAGACTTTGAATCCTCAAAGTTTGATTGGCCCAAAAATCACTGCCCTGATTAGTCAGAATAGAGCCTCAATTCTATTGGGTAAAATAGGATTCCAGCAAACCTTTATAAGAGCTGGCTCAGATGGGAGAAATACATTGCTGGAAGACAGTTCAGTACAGAGGCAGGCAGTGCAGTTCAGGCTTCTTTGAAGTTTAGTTTGCATAAGAGACCCCTGTGCAGAAACAACCACTACACTGTTTATTTTCGTTTTTGTTTTAAATTTGAGCCCAGTTAGCCACCAGGAACCTTTCTTAGTAGGTGTCCTTTTTTTCTCGGGGTTCACAGGTGATAATCTGTGGGGCAAAGGAGTTGGAGGATAATGCCTTATGTTTTCATCTCTGGGACAGGGATTCTGGTTCACTTAAACTGATTATATTGCAGAGAAAATACATAAGCTAAACATGAGCTTAAAATCTAATCATTGTGGGGTGGGTAGGGCAGGAAAGAGTAATGGGGGAAAATGAGAACAACTGTAATTGAACAACAACAAAATACCTAATCAATGCCAGTTTGCTATGAAATCGTATTAAGAAAGAACACTTAATTATCAAAGTTGAAATCTACACATTATATTAATATAGATGAACTTTACAGCTATATTAATATATTGTAAACATTGTATTAATGTTATATAATAGTATACCAGTATAATAAAGATATAATTATTAATATTAATAATATTAATATTGATTTTGGTATATAACACCTAGAAGAAAAAACTTCTACATTTGTATGACTATATGGGTTTTATCTTATATATGTGAATTCCTACTTTACCAATTTTAAAGATATCCATAGTACCTCTTTTTTTGGAAAAGTGAAAAGCATACTCATTTTCTTTTTTATTTTGTGATAAATGAAGACATTCAGTTCTCTGAAATGACACAAGATCAAAACAGAATTGATTGTTTGTAAGCCGACCTGGTCTATTTCACCATATGCCCATGCTGTTCTTATTATACAAGGGGAGACCAAAAACCACCTGGAATTATCTTCTAGAACGCAGGCCCCTTGTAGTAGAGGCTTCCCCAGCTAATTGAGTGTTCTAGGAACCCATCTGTATCAGTGTACCAACTGGCATTTTGTGAGGTTGTATTCCACTTCAGTGAATTTTTTTTAAACACTCTTTCAAAGCATTTGCCCACTTCATGATGGGTGATTTATAAGCACACCTGCCCATACCTCGCTGAGTGTTCAGTCATTTTTGACCAAAAACAGCATGACCCCTGAGCCCTACCCTCCCTATTGACCCAATCTCACCTCAAGAGACATTTTGTTTCCCTGGGTGAAAAAAAGACCTCAAAGGGAAACCTTTTTTGCCTATGTGGAAGAGGTACAACAAAAAATGGCAAAAGCACTAAAAGGCATCAAAATCGACAGGTTCAGAAACTCTTGAGCAGTGGAAAAAACATCTTGATAGGTGTATTGCATCAGATGGAGAGTACTATGAAGGCGACTGAGGTTTAAACATGTAAGAATAAATACATAATTTTTTATAAATAAATTCTGGGTTGTGGGGTCCCCTCTTGTAGCTGTGAACATTTATCTCCAGGAACTACTAGTATCCTTTGCAGTATCTGTGGCTACACTGTGCCTTATAAACCCTGAGCCCAAACTTCCTATCACACTTGTTGCTGAATTCTGCCATTGTATCTACCACTACCAGAGCCCCATCACCCAAATCAGTACACAGCCAGAGAGGCTAGTCATGGTGAACTCTCATTAACTGTTAACCACAGTTCCCTATATAAAGCTACAAGAAGCTCTTACAAAAAATGTTAGGTTTCCTGAAAGACAAGCCATATTTGTAAATAGCCTCTTAGTGAAAGTTTCATAAATCCCCACATTGTCAGATTTGTGTCCAGATGAATTGCCATGCCCAGCAGGAGAAGGGATGTGAGAATGAGGATTGAAGTCATTGTATTTATTCAATAAACACCTACCCACTGTTTAGAGAACTATGGTAGGGACTAAAATACAAAGATGAGTAAAATGTGGGACCTTGCTTCATGAAGCTTTGGATATCATGACTTAAGTACAGTTTTAGCACTAAATTGAGATGCAGTGAAAGCAGCTAAGGGGGAAGCTATTAATTCCCTGGGGAGAGTTAGGAAGGGCTTTGCAAAGAAGAGATGCTTGAGGTGGGTCCTACAGGGAGAGTAGATATTTGTCACTAAGATGAATGTACAGTTATAAGCAGAACACATCCAAATTCATGGGCCTAAGAAATAGAACCAAGGCATGTTTGGTGACCTGTGGGTAGTTTGGAAGTGAGGATGTGAAGTTGGAATCAATAAAAGAATTTTGAAGAGAAGTAAGGGCCAGAATGCAGAAGTCATTGCATGCCTTGGAGGGGAGTTTAGATATTATCTTGGAGCAGGGGGAAGCCACCAAAAGAATTTAAACTAGAAGTTATAAGATGAAAATTGAGTTGTAGAAAAATCTCCACTGACAATATGGAGTACTACCTGGTTGTAACATCTGAACCCCTTGGAAAATTAAAATATCTCATTTTAGCCCTGGCAGGATAGTTAAAGATTGTGGGTTTGATCCCTGGTAAGGGCACACACAAGATGCAACCAATGACTGCATAAATAAATAGAATAACAAATCAATGTTTCCCTCCCTTCCTCCCCCTCTTCCCCTCTCCCTCTCTCCACTGACCCACGTGCACCTTCTCTTCTTCCTCTAAAATCAACAAATACAAAATTTTTAAATATATTACATTTTAAAAGGTCAAAACTCACAATCTGTCTCTTCTGTTGAGTTTCCCTCTCACTGAAGCACTATTCTGATATGGAATTATTTAGCCAAAAACAATGCCACTAATAAAGGGTAACGTCTTCCTCGGGTTTTAGGGTCTGAACCGAGAGATGATTTCTCTGTCTGATTTCAGGATCACCATCCATCTCAGCAGGGCCAAGGTGGGTTATATGGAATCTATCTAAGGGCCTTCTGCACAGGACTGGACTCAATTTTGCAGCCTTATCGACAAGCACTGCTTGATTTGGAACAAGAGGTAAAGGGGGGGATATGGAAGCAACACCTCTGGGACAGCAGATTAGGGCACGTTTTTTAATTTGAAATGCCCTTTGATATGGTCAGGTAGTTAGGAATAAGCTATTTTCTGTGTGGCTGCAAGTACAGTTTACAATGTTTTCTCTGTGATTGTCCAAGCCATGGTCAAAGTGGTGTGCAGATTATGGCAAAGGTTCCTGAGTGAGTATATAAGAGCCCTACCTTTGATTTTATCAACTGAAAATCAGAATTAATAATCTTTCATAATCATAAATTCTTTTTTTTTTTAATTTTTTTAAGATTTTATTTCTAGGGAGGGAAGGGAGGGGGGAGAGAGAGAGAGAGAGAGAGAGAGAGAGAGAGAGAGAGAGAGAGAGAGAGAGAGAGAGAAAGAAACATCAATGTGCGGTTGCTGGGGGTTATGGCCTGCAACCCAGGAATGTACCCTGGCTGGGAATGGAACCTGGGACACTTTGGCTCCCAGCCCACGCTCAATCCACTGAGCTACGCCAGCCAGGGCTATAATCATAAATTCTTGATAGCCTAAAATTAACACTAAGCTCACTCTCAGATTTCCTTCTAGTTTTAATAGATCAAGTAGATTCAAGATATTTTGTATGGAGCACTAATCACAGTGATTTTTGTTGCAGTTCCTGGCTGACCCCCATCTCTCTATATCACATGTCAATTACTCCCTGGATCAGGTATGCTGCTCAAATAACAAAATGCCTTGGAATCTGCTGATACTGTTAGAATAATCTAACTTATAACATTTTTTTAGAACTCTTTTCCTTCTGGATTCAGAGCCCAGCATTTTATATTTTATATGCTTTTCTAGATCAAAACTGTTTGAAAAGCTCCAAATTTAGTTAAAAATTAATGTCTGATGTTACTGCTTTAAATTGACCTTAATATTAATGATTATGCTAGTCTCAGAAATAAAAACTGCTTCTATCTGCCATTCTCTTTCTATCTGCCACCAACCCCATATCAAATTGCCTTAAGATATTAGATCTTGGCTGGTCTGTGGTATTGCTATCTTTATGTAAAGTGGGACTATTTAGAAATAAAAGCATTTCCTAAAGTAATTTTTTTCCTTGTATTTGATAGACCCTCCTAATTCTCTTCTTTGCAGTTTCAGCTCCTTTTCCCCTCTGTGATGGTTGTAGTAGAACAGATTAAAAGTCAGAAGGTGAGAACCGTCCTTTTTCACTTTGCTCTGATAAGCACCAATGAAATATTTTTAATTAATTTTGCTTTACATTCTTTTTTGAAGACTCTAGATTTTAGTAGTTTTTACTAATTTATTTATTCAACAGTATCTGCTTGGTATTATGCTAAGTGTCAGGAATGCAAAAATAAATTGTGACCTTGCCTCTAAGCATCTTTTGGTCCAGAAGGTGAGGGAAATGTTGATAGATGCACCCAAAAAAGCTGTCAGGTAAGAGAAAAATGCTATGGATACTTGGAGGTGATAGTTTTTTGCACTAAAGATTGGGATTATTAGATAATGTATCTGAAGGAAAAGCTAAAAGTTAATCTTTAGAAAAAAAGAAGGTAATCGTTTTATGTTAGGGTGCTGGCAGTGTTCTGAGAATTATACCATTGTGTAAAACCTAGGTGTTTGTTAGTTAAATATGCCTATTCTCATCACAAGCTTTCATCAAATGGATTGAAAAATGGAGCCCCAAAATTTACATTTCTTATAAGTTCCCAGGCGATGCTGCTAGAAGTGGGGTTGGAGGGCTGGATGGAGAGGGGTAGGGAGACTATAGAGTTCATACTTTGAGAATAACTATTGCAATATTGTGATTTATATTAATAAATGTATTTTTGTCTTCACATTGTTTCTGGCACAGAGCTCCTAAAACCCTTGGGATTTCCTAAGTGTTAAGAGTGATAAAGGTGTCTTGATATTCATAAGAAACCCCTGTCAACCACACTTGAGTTGTTAATGAGGTGACTTTTGGACTGCACTTAAGGATGGGAATGGTTGCCAGGGGGACCAACCTTGTGATTGGAGGGATGGATCTTTCAGTCCCACCCACAACCTCTAGGGGTGGGGGAGGGCTGGAAATTGAGTTCAGCCACCAGTATCTAGTGATTTAATCAACTGTGTCTATGTAATGAAGCCTCCCAAAAACCCAAAATGACAGGGTGTGGACAGCTTCCCGGTTGGTGAGCCAGAATGATTCCACATTTCTTCATCTGGCTATTGATTTGTAACATTTGATATTCTTGTTCAAAAAAACCAAACAACCTGTAATTGAGTGGATAACTGTTTCCTGAGCTCTGTGAGCCACTCTAGAAAATTAATCAAACCCAAAGAGGGGATCATGGGAACCCCTGAGGTATAGCCAGTTAGTTAGAATCACAGAAACAACCGGAGCTTGTGACTGGCATCTGAAATAGGGGATGGTCTTCTGGGACTAAGCCCTTAACCTATGGAATCTGATGCTATCTCAGGATACAGTCAGAATTAGGTCAAAATGTAGGACACCCCAGCTGGTGTCTGAGAATTGCTTGGTAGTGTGGGGAAATCCCATACACATTGGACTCATAGTCAGAATAGGAACTATATCTAGATCTTATGAGAAAGTTTATCCTCACTCTCTGCTGGATTTTGCCCTTTGGACTGAATATAGAATATGAGTTTGTACTACATGTACTATTAAAATGGAATCCAGTTTGAAAATGCTGTGTTTTCCACAGATTCATGGATGTCAAATCCTGGAAACAGTATACAAACACAGCCGTGGAGGTTTGCCTCCTGTTCGAAGTGCACTAGAAAAGTAAGTCATGGCTCAATTGGTGGTTAGGGGTGGAGGTGGGTGGTCAAGTGACTCGACCATGCACGTGTTTTTTTTTTCAGGTCATCTTAGGTTTCCCTCTGGGAAAGGATATAACCAGGATAGAAAAGATCCATGATCAGAGGAGCCCATGTAATCCTTATGATGGCTCAGAAATTGCACAAAAAGGGTTATAAAGTGTTGAGTATCAAAGCTAGGATCTAGTTGCCTAGATGCCTTTGAAGCATCTTTTGGATCTCGTCATCTTGGGAGAATTTCCATTACATGTGCCAGGTATTGCCTAGCTAGGTCTAAACTTGTATATTTTGAGTCAATGGTATTTTCACATTGAGGTCCTTAAAAAGTTTTGTACTTTATAATCCCATAATGCCACTCTTAGGAATTTCACTGTAACAGAATGATTCAAAAGAAGAAAATAACCATATGTACAAATATTATTCATTGCACTGTTGTATAATAAATCAAGAAATTAGAAAATTACCAGCAGCAGAAGAAAGCTGAATAAAGATATATTCACTTGATAGACTACAATGTCATTAATGTTGTAAATACTATAACAACATGTAAAAATATTTTTATAATACTAATTGAAAAAAGAATGCAAAATATGTCTTATGGTTACAACTATATTAAATGTATATAGCGTTTCATCAAAGACTGCTCATTTGATCTTCCTGTTTCCCTGTTCCTCAATTTTTTAAGAAGGGTGTGAAAAAAAGAGGGTGTGACATTGATTTCAAAATTGTAATCAATGATTTCTGAGGCCCCTCACAACTCAACAATCTCAACTTTAATTAGTGCATAAGTAAGTCCTCAGAAGAGCAGGAAATTTTCCAGAATATGCTTTAGGGACTTAATTCTCTATTACTGTGCTTTTTTTTTCTCATAGAAATGAATTTTGATTACAGAAAGTGAGGATATGCAAAGAGAAGAAATAGAAATCACCTGTAATCACAGCCTCTTGAGATATCCAATTCAACTTTTGGTGTATATCACCTACAGTTTCTCTCTACATAAACATACTCATAGTTATATGTAGTGAGTATAAAATCTTACGTAGATAATATGATATATACAGGGACCACAAATAAAAATTATATATTTTCAGGGACCACATTTTACAGACCACATATTGTAATATGCAAAATTTAACTGCCTTTCCATTTGATTTTTTAAACAGCAATTCCATTCAATTAGCATACTACAAATAGCAGACTCCATCTCTTCTAGTTTCTTTTTCTTTCCGAGTTATTTTGAAAAATTTTAAATCTCCAAAAATGTTGAAAGAATTATATAATAAATACCTGTATAGCCTTTAATTTCACCAGCTAACATTTTGCCACATTTGATTTATCTTTTTCTTTCTCATCTATATAAACTGAAATATATATGTAAATATATGTATAAACACACACACATGCATGCATACCACAGTTTTTGCTGAATGATTTGTAAGTGGTCACAGATATCAAAACACTTAACCCCTAACTATGTCAGTTTATATCTTTTTAGAAAAAGGGCATTCTCTCATATAACCTCAGTACCATATTATACCCAAGAAACTTAATGTTAACTCAACAGTATGATATCCAAAATATGTCTGAATTTTCTCAGTTTCCCTCCAGAAGTTCTTTATAGCTGTTCTTTTTTTGCAGTCCAGGATCCAATTAGTGTTCATAGGTTGCATTTGCTTGTCATGTCTATTTAGTTTCCTTTCATTTGGAATACTCTCCTTCATAGGCTTTTTTAAAAAAATCTTTGATGACTGACATTTTAAGAGTACTTGTCTTGAAGAATGTTCCACAAACTAGATTTTTCTGATTATCTCCTCATGATAAGATTTGGGTTAAACATTTTTTTGCAATAATACTACATGAGTCATATTATTCCCTATTGCATCATTTTATAAAGCACAGAAAGTAAGTCTGTCCCATTACTGGTGCTGTAAGTTTGCTCATTTGATTGAGGGACACTTTCCCGTTTGTAATTAATATGTTATCTGGGAGTGATCCTTTCAGACCATGTGAATATCCCATTCTCCAGCAACCATTCTGTATTTTGTTGGATAATGACAGGCAGGTGTGTGTGCCTGTTATGTATTGACTCTACTCTCCCTATGTGATACCAACAAAAATAAAACAAATTTAATGCTCTGTTAGCCAAAGAGGGACTCCTATAAGTCCATTTAGTTTTAACAGGAAAATCAATGTTAAAACTTACTTTACACAAAAAGAGGAAAGAAAATGTGCTTATCCTAAAAGACTATCAGAACATTAACTGAACATTTCAGACTTCAGTATGTAGGCATCAAGTTTGGAAATTAATCAGTCCAGCCACAAGCATTTAAATTAAAACACCACAATTATTTTTGTCTTATAGTTGGTCATTTCCTTTCTGATTCATCAACCTCTCAGGTCTCTGTTTATCCTGTAGCAGTTTAAAGCATACCCTGTGTGCTATTGTGGGGTTAGTGTTCTTTAAATGGGCTTCTAAGGCTCTTGCCTTTTATCCCCACTCAGAATCCTGGCCGTGTGTCATGGGGTCATGTATAAGCAGCTCTCAGCCTGGATGCTGCATGGACTCCTCTTGGACCAGCACGAAGAGTTCTTTATCAAACAGGGTCCGTCTTCTGGGAATGTCAGTGCCCAGCCAGAAGAGGATGAGGAGGATCTGGGTATTGGAGGACTGACAGGAAAACAACTGAGAGAACTCCAGGACTTGGTGAGAGCATAGCGAGAAGCCAACATACTCCTGTCAAGAAGCAGAAAAAACTATAGATGAGTGTCCTTTTGGTGATCCTCCCTCCCTGCTCCAAGTTCATCATAGCTGGGCACCTTCCATAAACTCTTTAGATATAAACACTTGTCTTTTATCTTAGCTTAGTACTTAAACTAAATATCTAACTTAATGTGAGACTACAAAACAGAAAGTACATTTGTGAGATTCTGTTTGTTTCTCCTTTTCCTAATATATGCTTTTAAGAGATTAATAATAAATCTTATTCCTTCCAGTATTTAAATACAATTTGGAGTTTTCATTAAACTCCCCAAAGTCCTCTATTGTCCTTATTCATCATTCATCTGTCCTGCTACAACATTTTATCAAATGCCTGTTATGTACCAGGCACTGTTCTACGTGCCACAGTTACATAGACAGATAATATATAGTACTCCCTATCCTTAAATAGCTTATAGTTTAGTGGAAGATATAAGTAAATAGTAACATTACAGTGTGCTAAGTGCTCTGGAAAGAGTATGTACAAGTGTTCTCAGAACTTGGTCTTAGAGTAACTAGAGAAGGCTTTTCAATGGAACATATGGCCAAATTGCGAAAAGTATGGGAGGAGAGGTCAAGAAATGTTCCAGGCACGTGTGTAAGTGTTTCAGGGAAGGATGTGTGTGAAGTACAGAGCCCATGATGGACATGGCTCATCTGGGGAACCATTAGTAATTCAACTGAAATGGTCAAGTAAAGACTGAAGTATCATGTAAGGGGCAGTGGAGGGGCTTGGGGAAGTGGCAGTCAATGCAACCATTGAGTTAAGCAGAGGTAAGATCACTAAAGCCCTTGTAAACAGTGGGAAGGAATTCAGACTTGAATCTGAAAAGAGCTGGAAGCCAATGAAGAATTTTAGGCAAGAGGTTAATACAATCAGGCATTATGATAGATCACTCTGGGTATGTGGGGAATCATTTATTTTTTTTAAAAATCAAGATTCACTGTAGGTAGGTCAGTTAGGAGAATGCTGAGGACACTTAGGTGAAAAATAACAATAGCCTAAATCAAGAGTGTTAATAGTAAATGTGGAGTAGAGCCTTGAGAGAGATTTAGGAAGTGGAATAAGTAGGTCTTAGTGATTGATTGGATATGAGTCCAGAGGAAAGAATCAAGGATGGCACCTAAGTGTCTGTGTTCAGCAGCTAGGCAAATAGTGATGACAAGAAATGTGTGTTGTTGGTATTGGAGGAAAGAAGATGGGTCTAATTTTGGACATGTTGAGTTTGAGGTACTTGTAGGAAATGTCCAGTGAGCTGAGGCTAGAGCTCATGAGAGCAATCTAGCTTAAAGGTAAAGATTGAGGAGTCAACAGCATTAGATGTATTTAATCTGGAGTCCACGTGGGACTTCAGGAGGTTTTGCAAAATGTATATTTGTATGTGTGTCTGGAAGCTTTTATAATTGTGGAGAATCCTGTGGTGTAAAAAGACAAAATATCTGTTATGGTGAGAAATTCAGCCATAGAATATGTTGTTATGGATGAAGAGGGTGGAGAGCAAAAGGAAAATCGTTCAGAATAGTGCCTGGAGCCACCAGCTCCACCACCTCTGAAACCCAAAACAAAGAGGGCAAACAGCAGAGATCAAAGTCAGGATTGTGAAGTCTGTTGGAACTAGATAAGGGTCAAATTAAAAGCAAGTCAGGGGATGGGGTGCTGAGTGATTAGGTGATGGGCATCTGTGGCTTTCTGGGCTAGATCAGTGGTTCTCAAACTTCAGTGTTCATCAGAATCACCTGGAGAGCTTGTTAAAACATGGATTGCTAGGCCTCATTGCCCAGTTTTTCTGTAGCTCTGGAGGAAGGGGCTTGAAAATGGCATTTCTAACGAGTTCCCAAGTGAAGCTACTGCTGCTGGTCCAGGAACCACACTTTGAGAACCACGGGGCTAGATGGCTTAGGGCTGGTATAAGAGCTGGGCAGAACAGACATGTACGCAAGATCATAAAATCATGGACGTGTAGACTTGGAAAAAGTACAGACTGATTGTTCCGTGGTACGCATAAGGAAACTGAGTTCCAGATCTACTGCACAAGTTTCTACGGTAGTAAAGCCAGAATGTGGACAAAAACCCTAGTGTTAAACACTGTTATTTCCACCATGCCCTCCTGCTGCCTGAAAATGGAATACATCTCTCTAACACTAGTCACTTAAGAATTATGCAACTTCAGATTTAAAGTTCCTGCTTCTAGAAAATATAAATTGTGGGTTAGGATGTTTTCTTATTTTCCCTTTCTTCGTACATCATCTCTTATTTGGATTATTTCCTTGACCAGCGCCTGATTGAGGAAGAGAACATGCTGGCACCATCTCTAAAGCAGTTCTCCCTGCGAGTGGAGATTCTGCCATCCTACATTCCAGTGAGGGTTGCTGAAAAAATCCTGTTTGTTGGAGAATCTGTTCAGATGTTTGAGAATCAAAATGTCAACCTGACTAGAAAAGGTAGGAATCTCCTTGCACAATGTACCCCATCCTCAAAGACCCTTCTTCTTTTTTTTTTAAGACTTTATTTTTTAGAGAGAGGGAGAAGGAGGGAAAACCTATCTGTTGCCTCTTGCATGACCCCACTGAGGAACCTGGCCTGCAACCCAGGCATGTGCCCTGACCAGGAATCAGACCAGCAACCTTTTGGTTTGGGACGAAGTTCCCAACCCACTGAGTAACACCAGATGGGGCCTCAAAGGCCCCTCTTGACATTCTGTGACTCCAAAGTATGCCTGGTCAGAGTGAGTGGCTAGCAGTGTTTATGTGCTGACATTTCAGCACAGCCATGATGTGTTTGCCTGAAGCAGGTGAAGGAGCTGCACCACCGTGGTTGGGAATCCTTGCCTGCCCCGGTTGCTCTCTGTCTTCCTGTAACAGTGCCTTCCTATTTTGCAGGATCCATTTTGAAAAACCAGGAGGACACTTTCGCTGCGGAGCTGCATCGTCTCAAGCAGCAGCCGCTCTTCAGCCTGGTGGATTTTGAGCAGGTGGTAGATCGAATTCGTAGCACTGTGGCTGAGGTTTGTCTTTCATAGCATATTTTCTTAGGAAGAAAGTGGACTAATTTCCTCAGAAATTTGACTTTTATTTCTTCTTAATGTAGTAAGAACTTAGCTTGAAAGGAAATGTTTGAGAGAGTTGAGGAACAAGACAAAAATGAAAGCATTCTCTCTGTTTTTATAGTAGAGGTAGAACTACTTTAGCATTGTCACACCTGACAGGAGTTTGCTAGTTAAGCAGTCAGTTGAATAAAGGGAGGTCTTGGTTTTATTTCAGATAGTTAGCATTTTGAGGCTGTCGATACACAGTAGTTGGCAATAACTCCAGGGGATCAATGGATCCTGACTAAATTTAGTGCCTTATTTATATTTTAGAATGGCTTTATTATTCTGTCATTTATGGATATGATACTCCTGAGGAAGGCAGAACAAGTATAATTTTTCCATTCCTATAAATGAAAAAAAAAATACTCAGAAAGCTAACTTGTCTGGTGTTGCACAGTAAGTAATAAAGATGAGATCAGAAACAGGTCTTTTGGCTTCTACCTAGTCCAGTGTTCTTATATGAGTAGTGATCAGTAATTTTTCAAATGGGCATATGTTCTGTAGCTTATGATAAAATTTGGCTCACAGGGATGTGATAACGTGAAATGACATCTTTAATTAGTCAACTGTGCTGTTAACTATGTTAGTAGTTTCCAACTCTGGCTGTAAAATCACCTGTGGAAATCTTAAAATGTACGTGCACCAAGTCCTTACCTCCACAGCTTCTGACTTGTAAGTCAGGAGGGAGTAGGTACTTGTCTGATTGCTTTGACTTTGTCCCACAAGTTTTTGGCCTAGGTAGTGTTTTCATTTTCATTCTGTTCTAAGAAATTTTTAATTTTCTTTTTAACCCAAAGGATTTATTAAGTTTTAGTCTTATTATACTATTAGTCCTTTGGGATTTATTGAGGCTTTTTAATGGACTATTAGCAGGTCTGTTTTTTGTTTTTAATTGCTTTCCATGTGCCCAGAGAATGTATATTCTATGCTGAGCCTAGAGTTCTGTGCATGTTGTAATTCCTCATTTTCAGGTTATATATTACATATGTACATATTTATTAGGAATATATATGTTTTGTTGTATATATATATAATGTCCTCTTTATCACATATATTTGTATATGTACATAGTATATTTTGACTTCAGTTCTATTTTATTAGTTATTAAGATCACTATCCATGTTTCTTTCAGGTCATGGTTATCTGGTATGTCTTCTTCCATCCTTTATTTTCAACTTTTCTATGGGCTTTAATCCCACCCTTTTCCTTCCCTCTCCCAAGCAATCACTGATCTGTCCTCTAACCTGTCACTTTAGATTAGTGGGCATTTTCTAGGTTTTATATAAGTAAAGTCAAACAGTATGTACTCTTTTATGGTGGAAGGTGGGTCAGGCTTCTTTTACTCAGCGTAATTATTTTGAGATTAATCCATGTTGCATGTATCAATAGTTTCTTCCTTTTTCTTCCCTAGCTTGCACAGGACACTCATATGAACATCACTAATTACATGTTATTTCAAATACTTCTCTAAATATAGAAGAGCTATCACATCCATCCCCTGATATAGCACTCTTCTCAAAGTATGCTACTGTACTACACATGTCCTGGCCAGGTAGCTCAGTTGGTTAGAGCATCGTCCCCATATTCCAAAGTTGCAATTTCAGTTCCTGGTCAAGGCACATAAAAGAATTAACCAATGAATGCATAAAAAAGTGGAAAAAACAAATCGGTGTTTCTCTCTCTCGCTCCATTTCTCTGTCTCTAAAATCCATAAATTAAAAAAAATGTTTTAAGTATCTTAAGCATACAATTCTTTTAAAAATTTTTTCAATTACAGTTGACATACAATATAATAGTTTCAGATATGCAATACAGTGATTAGACACTTATATAACTCATGAAGCGATCCCCCTGATAAATTTAGTACCCATCAGGCACCATGCAGTTATTACAATATTAACTATGTTCCCTATGGTACACTTGATTTTCTCATACCTTTTTATAATTGTCAATTAGTACATCTTAATCCCTTCCCTTTTTCACCCATCGCTTCAACTACCCTTCCATCTGGCAACCAGGAATTTGTCCTCTGTATCTATTAGTTTGTTTCTGTTTTGCTTGTTCATTTTTGTGTTTTAGATTCCACATATAAGTGAAATCATCTTGTATTTGTCTTTCTCTGTCTGACTTATTTCACTTAGCATAATACCCTCAGACATGTTCTCATCCATGTTGTCACAATGGCAAGGTTTCATTCTTTTTTATGGCTGAGTAATATTCTGTTATCTGTCAGTGGGCACTTAGGTTGCTTCCCTATCTTGGCTATTGTAAATAATGCTGTAATGAACACAGGGATGCATATATCTTTTTGAATTAGTGTTTCAGATCTCTTCAGATAAATACCTGGCAGTGGAATTGCTGGGTCACAAAGTAGTTCCATTTTTTATTTTTTTTTAAAGATTTTATTTATTTATTTTTAGAGAGGGAAGAGAGGGAGACAGAGAGAGAAACATCAATGTGCAGTTGCTGGGGTCATGGCCTGCAACCCAGGCATGTACCCTGACTGGGAATTGAACCTGCGACACTTTGGTTTGCAGCCCATGCTCAATCCACTGAGCTACACCAGCCAGGGCTTCATTTTTTAATTTTTTGAGGAACCTTCATACTATTATCCATAGTGGCTGAACTAACTTACATTCCCACCAACAGTATACAAAGGTTTTCTTTTCTCCAAATCCTCATCAACACATTATTTCTTCTTGATGATAGCCATTTTTTAATTCAAATTGTATTTTATTGTATATGCTATTCCAGTTGTCCTAATTATTCCTCCTTTTTCACCCTCCTCCCAAAACACCTCACTCCCTCAGGCAATCCCCACACCGTTGTCCATGTGCCTGGGTCATGCATATATATTTTTTGGCTACTCTATTTCCTATGCTGTACTTTACATCCCCAAAACTATTCTGTAACAACCAATTTGTACTTCTTAATCCCTTCACTATTTATGCCCATTCCCCCAACACCCCTCCCATCTGGCAACCATCAAAATATTCTCTGTATCGATGATTCTGTTTGTTTCATTTATTTTGTTTTTTAGATTCAATTATTGATAGATATGTATGTATTTGTTGCCATTTTATTGCTCATGTTTTTTATCTTCTTAAAGAAGACTCTTTAAACATTCATGTACTACTGGTGATGATGAACTCCTTTAGCTTTTTCTTGTCTGGGAAGCACTTTATCCATCCTTCGATTCTAAATAATGGCTTTGCTGGATAAAGTAATCTTGGTTGTAGGTTCCTTGCTTTTCATCACTTTGAGTATTTCTTGCCAATCCCTCTGGCCTGCAAAATTTCTGTTGAGAAATCAGCTGAGAATCTTATGGGAGCTCCCTTGTGGGTAACTAACTACCTTTCTCTTGCTGCTTTCAAGATTCCCTTTTATCTTTAATCTTCGGCATGTTAATTATGATGTGTCTTGGTGCAGGCCCCTTTAGATTCATCTTGTTTGGGATGATGGCCATTTTAACAGGTGTGAGTTGATATCTCATTCTAGTTTTGATTTGCATTTTCCTGATGATTAGTGATGTTAAGCTATCTTTTCATTTTCCTGTTGGCCATTTGGATTTTGTCTTTGGAAAAATGTCTACTTAGTTCCTTTGCCCATTTGTTAATTGGATTGAGGCTATTTTATTATTGAGTTATATGAGTTTTATTAATATGTTTTGGATATTAACCCCTTACCAGATATATGGTTTGCATATATTTTCTCTCATTCTGCCTTTTCATTTTGTTATTTCTTTTTTTTATTGATTTTTAGAGAGAGGGAGAGAGAGAGAAACATGGATTTGTTGTTTCACTTATTTATTCAGTCACTGGTTGATTCTTGTATGTTCCCTGATGAGGGATCAAACCCGTAACCTTGGTGTATCAAGATAATGTTCTAACCACCAGAGTTACCCAACCAGGGTGATTATTTCTTTTGCTGTGCAGAAGCTTTTCAGTTTGTGTAGTTCCATTTGTATTTTGCTTTGTTGTTTGTGATTATGGTGTCATATTTAAAAAAATCATTATCAAGACAAATGTCAAGGAATTTCTTCCCTACATTTTTTTCTAGGAATTTTATATAGCAGGTCTTATGTTTAAGTCTTTGATCCATTTTGAGTTCATTATTGTGTATGGTGTAAGACAGGAGTCCAATTTTATTTTTATGCATATGTCTATCCAGTTTTCACAGTACCATTCATTGAAAAGATAATCCTTTCCTTTTTGGGTGTTCTTGGTTCTCTTGTCAAATATTAGTGACCATCTATGTGGACACTTAATTTTTTTAAGAGATTTATTTATTTATTTATTTTTAGCAAGATGGGAAGGGAGAGAGAAAGAAAGGGAGAGAAACATCAACTGATTGCCTCTCATACCCCAACTAGGGATCTGGCCTGCATGTGCCCTAACTGGAAATTGAACTGGCAGTCTTTCAGTTTTCAGGCCAGCACTCAATCCACTGAGTCATACCAGCCAGGGCAGGGGAATTTAATTCTGAGCTTTCTGTTCTGTTCCATTGGTCTCTGTGTTTGTTTTTATGCCAGTACCATACTTTTTAAATTACTGTAGCTTCGTAATATAGTTTGAAATTAAAACTGTATGCTGCCTATGGCTATGTTGTTCTTTATCAGAATTGCTTTGGCTATTAGGGGTCTTCTGTGGTTCCATACAAATTTTATAATAGTTTTTTCTATTTCTCTGAAGAATATCTTTGGTATTTTGATAGGGATTGCATTGAACCTATAGATGACTTTAGGTGGTATGGACATTTCAACTGTTAATTCTTCTGATCCATGAACATGGAATGCCTTTCAGTTTGTGCCGTCTTTGATTTCTTTCAATGTCTTGTGGGTTTTGTTGTACATATCTTACACTTCCATGGTTAAGTTTGTTCTTTTACTCAGTGTAATTGGTATTAATCCATTTTTTCATCTATCAGTAGTTTATTCCTTTTTGTTGCTGAGTAGTACCCCATTGTTCATACCAATGTATTTTCTCTTCATATGTTGCTAAACATTTGGTTTGTTCCCTCATTGTAGTTTTAATTTTCATTCCCCTGATGACTAATGGTGTTTTTTTATATGCTTATTTGCCATCCATATATCTTCTTTGGTGAAGTGTCTGTTGAAATCTTCTGTCCATTTTTACTGTTTCTGTTTTGTTTTACTGTTGGGTTTCAAGAATTCTGTATTCTAATTATAAGCCCTTTATATGGGACTTACAGATATTTTCTCCCAGTCTATGAAGACTTTTCATTTTCTTAACACTGTCTTTCAAAAAGAAGTTAACTTTTATTAAATCCAGTTTATCAATTTTTATTCTTTTATGGTTCTTGCTTTTGGCATTGTACCTAAGAAACCATTGCAGTCCCAAAGATTTTCTCCTTTGTTTTCCTCTAAAAAGTATATAGTTTTCAGTTTTACTGTTAGGTTTGTGATTATTTTGATTCAATTTTTGTACATGGTGTAAGATATGAATCAACTTTTAATTTTTTCCATGTGGATATCCAATTGTTCTAGCAACTTGGTTTTTTTATTATCTTTTGTGTATTTATATTGCTACTATCCTTACCTCTTTTTGTTTATCAAGAATATTTAAAATTTTTTATCTTTTTCATGGGTTAGATTTCCCGGGAAACAGATTCTGACACTAAAATTTGGTAGCAAGCGGTAAGGGAAATGGGATTGAGCAGAGAGAGAAGGTAAACTGTGATATAGTTGCAACAGAAGCTTTGGCCAATCCTATGCTGAGTTCTGAAGCTAGAATGGCCCTTCCGAGGTATCCCAAATTGAGGATCGAGTGCTATGCCATTGTACATCTGCATCAAATATTGGATGTGGACTCTCCTCAGGGAGAAGAACCATTGGTAAGGAAGCTCCCTTTAGCCAAAGGCAATTCCTGGAGGACCAACATCAGGCAATGCTCCCAATAACTGGGGTAATGAATACCTCAGTCTTACAGGGGAGATACGGATAACACACTATAGATCCACTCTGTTCTAAAACTTCTGCTTCATATGGTGTGTCTTACCTAGTCTGTTGTATTTCTTTTACTCTTCACACATCTAGTTATTTTGACCTGTGTGCTTATATTTCCCAGGGGATGTCAGCTACTATGTCTATTAGTGTGCATTAGAGAAGGGCCAACGACCAGCTCTTAATCTATGTCAGTTCCAGTAAGAGAGAGAGGAGGAGATGAGTGCCAGGGTGGGGATCCTGCACACCCTGAATCAGTATTGATCACTTCACTGAACAAACTCTTGTCATGATTTTACCTTTGATACTGGTAATAGTTAGGCAGTTGATTTCTGTATATTAATCCTCCACACCGTGCTGAATTCTCTTACTAGTTTTAATAATCTGTGTATCAGTTCTCTTAGACTTTCTATGGAGATATCATCTGTTAATAAAAATAGTTTTATTTCTTCCTTTCCAGCAATACATATTTTTTCCTTATCTTACTGCATTGGCAAAGTATTTAGTATAATTTTTAATGACTTTAGAAGAATTTCTTATGTTTCACCATAAAATAGGTTGTCTGCTGTGGGTTTCTGGTATATACCCATTCTAAGAATACATTTCCTCTATCTGTTTTTTTCTAAAATCATGAATGGATGTTGACTTTTTATCAGATGATTTTTCTGCATCTATTGAAGTGATCATATGGTTTTTCTTTTTTGATCTTTATTAAATTACACTTATATTTAAATTTTTATTTTTTTTAGATAAATTCACATAACACCATTTGAGCCATTTAAAACTAGTCATGGTGATTTTTAGTGTATTCACAATGTTGCATAATCATCACCACTATTTAATTTCAGAATATTTCCATCTCATATATGTTTACTTTAAACTACCCTTTCATGCCTGGGTTTAACCCAACTTGGTCATGGCCTATATTCTTTTTTTCAATACATTGCTGGATTTGTACAAAACAATTTTTCATAGAAATTTTCATTGTAATGAAATTTTGTCTCTCTTTTGTTGGTTCTTTTCACAGCATCTCTGGAAACTGATGGTGGAAGAGTCAGATTTACTGGGTCAGCTGAAGGTAATCAAAGTGACGCTGGTGGGCAATGACTTCATTCTCTAGCCTCTCCTAAAACAGGTTGCCTATACCCAGATTTCTAAGTACCTGGTATGTCCTCAGCCAACTGTGCCAATTCTACCTAATCCTACAGATTTACTATAGTATGAAACTTTAGGTGTTAACATTCTTCTGGCATAATATAACTGTTTTCACTGAGTAAATGATAACAAAGACACACCAGACATCTTGCCGTGAGGGATTACTAAGTTTGCCCCTTTGAAATGTCAAAAGCCTATTTCCTTTTATAGGTTAGCTCAAACTGATGAGATTTGGAAATTATATGTGTAATTCCAGTAAGATAGTGAGGAGCTCATGGCCCTGCTGGATTACCAAGTTGTAAATTGAAATTTTTTCTGCAGATCATTAAAGACTTTTACCTTCTGGGACGTGGAGAACTGTTTCAGGCCTTCATTGACACAGCTCAACACATGTTAAAAACACCACCCACTGCAGTAACGGAACATGGTAATTGCCTGTGGGCCTGAAAATTACCCGCTTACTGAAGGTGTAGGGTGTTTCTTGGCTGCTGCTGAACCACTTAGGCCTGCTCTACATCGTAGCAGGCTGGTGAGTAACAGCGCAGTGTTTCCAAAGAAGGAAAGCCTTTCGGGCCAGCTTCACACTGAGGTCACTGGGAGTGGCCTCTTGGCAATGACCTTTCCTGGAAGAGTTGGTACAGGCCTTCAAACCAGGTATTCATCTCATCAGATTATAGCCATAGAGTCTTTATGGGACATACAGGAATTTATTGCCACTTACTGTATTAAAATTCTTCAGGTTGTAATGATGGATGCCTCATCTGCACTAACCTGGGTAGAAAAGGGAATATATTTGCTATTATATTTCTAACTCTAGGGGGATAGGGAATAGCTGGGCCTCAGAACAGCTGAGCTAAGGGCTTGAGTTCTGCTAGGATTCTGTCCTACCATATCTCTTCTGTGTCTCTTGTATACTCTTTGATAGCCTTTCATTCCCATCTGGAAACATGGCCACTTGCTCCTAGGAACATGTCTCACAGTGTCTACTGGAGGAGCCATACCTGGTCTCCCTGGTAGCAAATTCAAAGATTTCAAGGAAGGGGTTTTGATTAGCCTAGTCCAGATCATATACCTATCCCTGGATCAAAAAGGGAAGACAGTAAGGTGTGCCTGCTTCAATAAAGTATTTACCTTTGGCCAATGGGAATGACCACCATTCCCACTGAGACTATGTGATGGGAGCTGGGTGAGGATGAGAGTAAAAAAAAAGAAAGGAAATGGGGGGAGGGGAGTGAAGACAGCATTACTATTTTTCTGGCTCTATAAAACAATAGATGTAATACTTCCCCAGCAGGGGAGATACTATGAACATGAAAACAATAGATATCTACTATACTTACATAGGACATTTTTGGTTGCAAATATCAGAAAACCCATTTCAAACTCACTTAAACAAAGGGGGAAAATAAGTTATTGATTCTTATAACTGAAAAGGTCAGCGTTTGATCCAGTGGCTCCCATGACACCTTCAGGATTTGGTGTCATTCCATCTTTACCACTGCCTTTCTTCCCAGGCCTGTTCCATAGAGTGGCAAGATGGCCTCCAACAAAGTTCACATGCTATTTGCCAAGTCCCTGTTTATCCCTCTCTCACATACACACATAAAAAAGCTGTACTCTTTCAGTCTGAATAGAGCCTCTTAATTGGCCTGGCTTGGGTCATGTTCATAGCCCTAAACAAAATTCAGGGTAGAGTATTACGTTCCATTTGATCATGCCTGAGTCACCTGCCAACCTATAGGACCAGGTATTGTCAACTACATGGATTGTACTGGGCAGGGGAGATTCTCCGGGGAAAATGAAGGAGGAGCACATGCTAGTCAGATAAAAGCAACCAACATCGACTGCATCCTATTGTGTTAGGCAGGCTGGGGAGAGGTGGAAAGCAGGGTTTGTTATGTAGCTAAGCGTTCTTGTCAACCTGTGTGTTCCCTCTTGCAGATGTGAATGTGGCCTTCCAACAGTCAGCACACAAGGTGTTGCTAGATGATGACAATCTTCTCCCTCTGTTGCACTTGACAATTGAGTACCATGGAAAGGAGCATAAAGGTTTGCCTTCTTTCTTGCATCTTTCTGCTCCTATTGGTCATCATCTGTTCTCCTATTTCTGCTTCCATCCACCTCCACTGAAACTGTATCATTTCGGACCTTAGAAACCAGCTAGCCCAAATTTTATATGGAAGAAAAGGGAAGGAAGTCCAGAGAGACTGAGTGAGGTGCCCAGGCTGTGGTTTTTGTTTTTGTCATGCCACTGGAATTGTCTGTTTATGTCAAGCCACTAGACTTTAAGGTTGAAAAAAAAATCTCTAGAAGGCCTCCTAAGAGAACTTCACACAGACATGTCCTTGCCTCTCTAAATCTCCTTTCAGTCCCCTTTATGCTTCTGACACTGCAGGCTGAGTGAGTGTTCATTTCATGAATGCTATTCAATTGCTGAAGCTCGGGTTCTAGTTTAGCAAAGTCTAATCTAGACACCCTTCCTTCTCTTCTTGACAGATGCTACTCAGGCCAGAGAATGTCCTTCTCGGGAAACTTCTCCTCGGGAAGCCCCTGCTTCAGGTTGGGCAGCCCTAGGTCTTTCCTACAAAGTGCAGTGGCCACTGCACATTCTCTTCACCCCTGCTGTCCTGGAAAAGTGAGTATTTCTGAGTCTTCCACAAGTAAATATGACCCACCTTACTTCCCAGCGAAAAAAACAGGAACAGAATTGGTGGGAAAACAACAGCCATCAGAATAGCTTTTCAACAGTCTGTAAATCAGAGGTTTGAAACTCAAAAGCCTTCAGGAGCTGGACAGAAAACATTAATTAACAAGTGAAGACACAGACGTGAGACAGTAGGGAGTGGCGGACACTGGAATAAATGAGAGGTTCAAACCCTTAAAAGCAGGAGAGGTTTTTTGTTTTGTTTTGTTTTGTTTTGAAGGCAAAATAACAAGCAGTTTACAGGCTGTCAGTTTGTGACCCCTGGGGCATGCAGTCTCTGAACCACGTTGAGCCTGGCCTTTCATAGTTCTATCAGGTTGACAAGGTTTCTCCCTAACTTTTCTAATTTTCTTTATATATTTGGGAACACTTTCCAAGCTCAAATGTTTGTTGTGGACTTTAGCTGCCGGGGAGAAGATCACCCTCTTATCCCCAGGGAGAGGCAATGGGGGCAGCCAAGCTGGGTGGAGGGTGAAGTAAAGGAGCGTTACACCAGTGTGCTGAGACTCTTGGATCAGCCTCGGTCTTTACCCTGGGAGCCTGCCAAGTGCTGTTGCTCAGCCCCATAGGGACCTAACGGTCCTAAATGGGAGGAAAACTAGAGCTCTAGAGAAAAGAGGCAGAAGTATACTTGGCTGCTAGTAGCCTCCGAAATCCATCCCCAAGCCATTTCGGGAATGTCCCAAGTCCTTGTACAGGTGCTGGCACTGGCCCCTGGATGGGAGCTGTCATGCTCAGGCTAGAGGAATTGAGAAGAAGGAAACAAGTAAGCCAAAGGGCTCCTCTTAATCCTCTCTCTTCCTGTTCACAACCCCCTTTACTTTGCGGGGGAGAAAAGCTTAGGATATGAGAGACTAAGCATAAACTGGAGAAGACAAGGCTTGTTTCAGGGGGAAGATTCTGTGGCAGGTTCAGAGCCCACAGCCCTAACAGTCCACTCATCTCTTCACTTGATATGCTGCTCGTAATACCCTTAAAGAAATCAAACTCAAATATTTTTAAAACTTTCTATTGTGAAAGTTTCCAAATATAAACAAAAGTATGGACTATAATGAATTTCCATGTATGTACTATCCTGTTTCAGTAACCATCAACATTACAGTACTGGCTTTATTACTTAATTAATTAACTAATTAATCTATTTGTTAGAGCCTATAAAGCAACCCTAGACATGTCATTTCACTCCATCACTATGTCATTCAAAAAGGCTTTTTTTTTAAACATAACTACAATGCCATCATCGTGCCCAATAAAATTAAGAATTCCTTATTATCTGATATCCAGTCCATATTGAAATTTCCCTAGTTATCTGGAATTCTTTTTTTTGCCCTGGCTGTGTAGCTCAGTTAGAATGTCATCCTAATATACCAAGGTTGCAGAACCAATATCCGGTCAGGGCCCATACAAGAATCAACCAATGAATGTATAAATAAGTGGAACAACAAATCACTGTTTCTCTCTCTCTCTATAATTGAAATAAATAAACAAATAAATAGTTGGGTTTATTCAAATCAGAATCCAAACAAGGCATACTATTTTCAGTATGTTGTTCCATTAATAATAATTTTTAGCCCTGACCTGTGAGGCTCAGTGGTTGGGCATCGTCCCACAAAGTGAAGGTTGTTGGTTCAATTCCCTGTCCAAGCACATGCCTGGGTTGTGGGCAAGTCCCCGGTTTGGGTGGACACAAGGGGCAACCAATTGCTGTTTCTCTCCCTCTCTTTCTCCCTCCCCTTCCCTTCTCTCTACAAATACATAAATAAAATCTTTTTTTAAAATAGGCAATTTTTAAAAAACACGCTGTACTACCAGGAATCAGCTGCACTTCCCATGTGCCTTTTCAGTACAGGGCTCAGCATTAGGCAACTGCCCCCTGAGCTTCCTGCAGGGGATCTCAGCAAAAGGAGCCCTCGATTTTATTTTCTCTTTTGGCTTCATGGACACAAAATCAGATTAACAGAAATCCTTGGTTCCTAACATAATTCTTCTTATGGGTCCTTCCAAGACTCTCCTTCTAAACACACACACACACACACACGTGCCATAACACCACTTCTCAGCACAAAAACTACAACAGTGACAATAATGTCGATCTACCTATGTGGTCCTTCCCAGTCCTGCCCCCTTGCCTCCCACATCCCAAAGGGACCACTCTCCTAAATTCCATATTTGTGTGTGTGTGTGTGTGTGTGTATATATATATTCACTCCATATATATTCCATATATGTATACACACACACATAAAGACTTTATTTTACTTTTAGAGACGGAAAGGGCAGGAGAAAGAGAGGGAGAGAAACATCAATGTGTGGTTGCCTATCACGTGCCCAACACCACTGATGACCTGGGCCACAACCCAGCCATGTGCCCTGACTGGGAATCGAACCAGTGCCCCTTTGCTTCCCAGTCTGGCACTCAATCCACTGAGCCACACCAACCAGGGCTATAGATAGATATTTTTATAACATCTGTCTATATATTCCCCCAAAGTATACTTTTTTCTGTTTAGTTGTTTTAAACACTATAAGAAGGTTTTATGAGACTGTATGTAATCTTTTGAGGTTTATCTTTTTTATGCAAAATGATATTACTGGGAGTCGTTTGGTTGGGTTGTACAGCTGAAGTCAAATAGATAGCTATGTAATAGTCCATCATATAAATAAACCAGTTTTATTTGTCTATATCTCTAGCCATTCTTACTAACTTCCTGCCTTTTTAAGGAGGGGCTAGTGGCACACAGTCCTAGGGTCTGTCAAGTGTATGGGAGCAGGGAGTGAAATTTTTATCTTGCATAGCCTGATGTTTCTGTCCCAGGTACAATGTTGTTTTCAAGTACTTACTGAGTGTGCGCCGGGTACAAGCCGAACTGCAGCACTGCTGGGCCCTCCAGATGCAACGCAAACACCTCAAGTCCAACCAGACAGACGCAGTCAAGTGGCGCCTAAGAAACCACATGGCATTCTTGGTGGATAATCTTCAGTACTACCTCCAGGTCTGTGCTGACAGATGAGTAGAAGGAAGGGGTATGAAGGAAAGTCGAGGACCCAGGCAGGAGTCATTGAAGAAGGGCTGCAATCCTGCATTTGGTGAAACACTGGGGGTTTGAGAAAATTCACAGATTATATCACTAGGCATGTTTCTTGGGGACATTTTAGAGGAAAGCGAAAATAAATAAAGGAGAATGAGGGGTTAGGGTCCTTATCAGCAGTACAGTATTTAATTATTGTTGACTTGACCCTTTTTAAAATAACTTTTTATTGACTGATTTTAGAGAGGAAGAGAGAGAGGAATATCACTATTGTTCCACTTGTACATTCACTGGTTGTTTCTTGTGTGTGCCCTGACCGGAAATCAAACCTGCAACCTTGGCCTAATGGGACGATGCTCTAACTAACCTAGCTACCAGTTAGGGCTTTGACCCTCATTTTTATAGTTTGCTGTAGCTTCAGGAATCCTATAGGACTTAACCAAGTCAGTCAGTGGAGGGGATGTGGCATGAAGGGATTGACTTAGGGCAGGCAGTGGGATGTGGTATCTGCTAAGACATTGGAGGCTGTTAAGGATTAGGCAACTAACTTTCTACAGTGCTAGGTCTATAGCGGTATCTTTAGTGAGCCTTAAAGTGGCTTGGATAGGAGGCAGAGAATTTCTACAATATGTCATTCTGTCGGGCATCTTATGTCCTTGAGTTCTCAGAATGTGCAAGGTGCTAAAATTATTTGTGTAATTGTCTATCAGGTAGATGTGCTGGAGTCTCAGTTCTCACAGCTGCTTCATCAAATCAATTCTACCCGAGACTTTGAAAGCATACGATTGGCTCACGACCACTTCCTGAGCAATTTGCTGGCTCAGTCCTTTATCTTGTTGAAACCTGTAAGTAGGACTTGTTGGTTTCCTCAGACTGCTTCTAGCCTGTTCCCTTAGAGTTGCCAGGATATGGAACTATCATTAAGTAATTGTTCACTCTGTTTTGAGACATTTTTAACAACTTATGAAAATAAAAGGGAATATAAATGTTTTTGAATTTCTGAAATATATCATAGGATGTGGTGAGCAGCTAGCTATAGATGAAAGAATTATGTGCTTAACCCTCAGAAGGAAGGATTTCAAGAAATTTTAAAAACCTTTCTCACACCATAGAAAGACCAACAAAAAGCATGTGGAACTTACTTTCCTAGTAATGTTTTGGATAAGGCTCAACCAGTTGTTTGAAAGTTGGTCTTTCAATTTTCAACTAGAATAGTGTCTCCTCTCAACATGTGTGTGTGTGTATATATATTACACATATGTATGTATGCATATCTCCTTCAGGGAAGTTATTCTTAACTCTGGATCCACGTGGAAATCATCTGGGAGCTTTAAAAAATCCAGGACCCAGAGCACTTAAATGAGAGTCCCTGGAGTGGGACCCAGGTACCAGTATTTTTTCAAGCTCACAAGCTGATTCTAATTCTAGGATAAAAAAACGAGAAGATTAAAATGAGCCCTTGTAGTTTCTACTGTTACACTTCATCTGTGATGTGCGATGACTGTCATTCCGCAGTTGTGCACAGCACAAGTGCTACAAAGTTCTCTTTTGTTCTGGCATTTGGGCTGTTATGTTTGCTGCACTAAGGAGAAGTGAGTTATATAAATGACACTCCAAAGGGTTCAGTGAATTGAAAACAACCAAGAACCACTGTGATGGGGACTGTTTGCCATGAATGAATGCATCCTTAGGGAAAAGCAGAATCTCAGAGCAGGTGGTCACCACTAAATATTTATTAGAGTGCTTACTGTATGCAAGGCACTGGGGATACAAAGAGGTATAAGTCATGGCTCTGCCCTTAAGGAGCTCACAATCTAGTTGGAGAAACAGGACATACATACATATACAGGTCAGTAACAACACAGGTGGGCTGAACAAATGCCGGGTGAATAGTATAGGTAATATATAGAGGAGAAACAATTAGGTCACTAAAGACTATGGTGGCACAAGGGAAGGGAACCTGGTATTAGGAGGAGAGTATCCCAGGCACAAGGAACAACACTGAAAGCAAAGCTCAAGGCAGGAGCGCACACAGTGGGTCCAAGAAACGGTGATCAGCGTAATACAGCTAGAGTGAAGATTTTGTGCAGGGGTGACTAAGCGTACAACAGCATCTCTGCCAGGAAGGGGAGGGCTTGTCTTACACATGTTGCATTTGGAGGGGTTGGCAAGACTTGCACGTGGCATTGTCTCTCCTGAGGTCAGATGTGGGAGCACGAGAATAAGTTAGCTCTTATTTTCCCAAATCTTTAATTTCACAGATCTTTTTCCTAATGCCAGCTTTTATTTCCTGGGTAGGTGTTTCACTGCCTGAATGAAATTCTGGATCTCTGTCACAGCTTTTGCTCGTTGGTCAGTCAGAACCTAGGCCCACTGGATGAGCGTGGGGCCGCCCAGCTGAGCATCCTGGTGAAGGTGAGTCTGCCTGGCCAGTGGAAGTGTGCAGCCCTGCCCAAAGGGTAGAGGTGGTTTTCCCAGTGGGGAAACTGTATCTTTCCCTTTGAGGTAATAAAACATTTCCCCAGTATTTACACAGAAATAACAAGATACAAACTTAAAATATTGGTATCAGTTGATTTTGAAGCAGATAATTATGTGTTGCCTCAGTGTTCAAATATAGTTCAGCCCCGAATAGCTTATTCAACCCACCAAATACGAATTGGCTTTGCTCTCACTTTCGCATATCCAGCCTCCTTACTTCCTTAAACTAACCCCGTCTCACTGAGATTACAATTATCTCCTGTAACAAAAATGCACAGGCTCTCCCCAAACCCAGTACATGACAATGTATTAATTTGAAACCAGCTGCTAAATTCCTACTGAGAATGAGAGTACTTCACGTAGGAAGTCTTGCATTCTATGGACTCGGTACTAAGAAGTCATTTTAGGAGCTGGTAGAAATGGGAAAGTGGGAAGACCAGGTGGTGCTACAGAATTTTGAGCAAGGCTTTTCCAAGGAACACCCCCTTCCCACGTCTCCACGTGGATAGTTGGTGAGTCAAGAGGAATGATAGCTCGAGTCCTTTTCTCTGCAGGGCTTTAGCCGCCAGTCTTCGCTCCTATTCAAGATTCTCTCCAGTGTTCGGAATCATCAAATCAACTCAGATTTGGCTCAGCTACTGTTACGACTAGATTATAACAAATATTACACCCAGGCTGGTGGAACTCTGGGCAGGTAGGAACAACCCTTGGGGAACTCATTGGACTGTGTGTGTGGCTTTTATAAAATGAGCTATAGAATTCCAAAGCTAGAAGCAGATTTCAGCCATCATCTAGTCCATATACCCTTATTTTATAAACAAGGAAACTAAGGCTCAGAGAGATAAAGGGCCATGTCTGATCATCTTTAATAATTTTAATGGATTATTTTCCAGTAAAAGCCATCATCATAGTAAAATACGAAATTCCTGAGGCTGAGATGGGTTTTAAGTTCTCCCCTAGGTTGTTTTGCTGTGTGGGGAGGCAGCGTGGCTTCAGTTCCCAGTTCGGACCTTAACTAGCTGTGGAGTCTTAGGTACCCTGCCTGGCAGGTCCACAGCTTGTGTGTCTGTGAAAGGAGGGGGACGGCCCCTTCTGACTCTGAACTTTTTAAATCTAATACTGAGATTCAGTAGTTGGCTTCTCTCAGAGGTCTATCCCATTTTAAAAAGCATGTCATTGTTTTCCTTTGTCCCTGAAATGTCCTTGAGCAGATTTTTCCCAAGCAATTTTAGTAGAACAGTCAAAGAAACATTGTTTTAAGATGACATTATCTAGATCACAGGTATCCCTGATTCATATTTTCTATGAAGAAAACCTTTGTTTGATGAAGTTCTTTTTTCCTTTTTCCTAGTTTTGGGATGTGAAAATTTCTGGTTCACAAACTGAAGTAACAAGTCTATTCCACTGCATTCTCATCTTTAACAGAAGACTCAAAACCAACATCCCATTCCCTAGCCACTCACCAAATGTCTGCAAACTACTGAGGCGGCTCTACTCTCGTCCTAGAAGCAATTACTGAACATTCATGGACACAAACCCTTCCCTTTGTTCGCACATGGAAGGGTCTGCCCCACCTGAGGGGAGATCAGAACTTGCCCACAAAGGACACGTGGCATCACTTCTGCCTGTGCTGACCCATCACACTGAGAACATTTGTCAGATAAGTTCATGTTTTGAGCACCTACTATGTGCCTAGTTACTGTTCAAGCTGCAAAAGACAGAGTAGTAAGTACTATGTAGCAGAAAGTTAAATATTTTGTGGCTTGTGTGAATAAGAAATTGTTTATAAATAGGTCAACTGCTGGATGTTACCATTAAGCAAGAAGTGCACCAGGTAAGATAGGTTTCCCCCTACCCCACAGACCCTCTTTCCTCCTTTTGAAAATGGAAATTGAGAATGCCCCATCCTTAAGGAGCTTCAAAACTGTGAATCTGAAGAATTTTACCAATAACTTCCAATTACTTCAGACTGGTAAAAGGGCAATTCTAGCTATTGACAATGTGTTTAAAAATATTTTTTAACAAAGAAAAAATCTCCTTTAAAAAATTGAGGTCAAATTATGAGATTTAAAGTACTGAAAATCGCAGGTCTAATTTTCCCACTTTAGGAGAACCACAGGTTCTCTAAACTCTAGCCCAACCATCACTGGGAACCACTAATGCTCGTGTCAGTGTAAATGAAAATAAATGTTCATTGAATAATTTCCTTTAAACCAAAAAAGAATGCAGCATTATGGCTTCAGTTTGTAGCTGCTCAGTCTGGCCCTCACTGCTTCATCTTCCACTGCATACTCTACACCCTTGTTCTCTGCAATTGTCAGCTAAAGATGACCCCTTCCGCGGCTGCCCCTGAAGCAGGGGTTATCAAACCATCGCCTGCCACCTGTGTTTATAAAGGCTCACTGGAACACAGTCACTCTCGTTCGTTTACCTGTTGTCTGTGGTTGCTTTCATGCCATCATGGTAAAGATGAGTAGTTGTGACATAGTTAAGTGACCCACAAAGCCTAAATACTTACTGCTTGGCAGAAAAATATTTCTGATCCCTGTTTTAGAGAATGAGAGGACAGCAACAGGGCTGATGCTCGGTGTTGGGAAGGAAGAACTACCTGCATCTGTGACAACAGTATAAAATTTTGTGTCTGTGACTAGAGCTTCTAACATTTCTAAGTGTTATCACTGTTTCTCATGTTAATCTTGCGGAACATCATCCCATCAAGTTTACCGTCACTACCCATTCACAGCAATCGGTCCTTTTAGCTCCGACAGCACAGTACCCACAGGTCAGTTTAGTGAGTTCAACTCTATGGAGGAAGATTTACTTTTCAATTTTGACAGGAAACAGAGCTGTGCTGAATTTCACTCAGCTTTTGGCACAATTATTAATCTGGGCCCACTGTAAAATCAGGTTTTCAGGAAGTATTTTAGAGATCCCAGGATAACCTTTTGACAGTGACACCACAGAAAACTTTAAAAGTCACTCCTTGTTATTTTCCTAAGCTAGCTGTCCCCCTAGAGTGAACAAGGCTATTGAAAACCACAGAAAAGGTACTATGTTTGTCTTACTACTTGTGCTATGATTAAGCTCAAAGAAGTGGATGAAGAAATCCCAGTTACTACAACCAAAGAGATTCAACATTTATTTTATCATAAAAGTCCAGCAAATAAAACTATATACAAGATCCATGCAAAGAATCCAATTACACACAAGACACATTTAAAACCTTGTTAAAACACAGTCTCCACAACAACAGGGAATAAAACTGGTAAGACCAAGTATCCTTAGTGAGAAATATAATCGTGTTTATATTTTGGATGCTGCTTGAATCCAATTCTTTCCCCAACAATGAGGCACTGGATCACCCACTCTTGTGATACCACAGGCAGCTGCAATGCTTCAGCGCACTTCAGCACCGAGGCTGGGCATGAGGGGTCCGTCACCACCACGTCAAATATCCCTAAAGCAATATCTGCAGGAAGCAGAGGAAGGTAAACAAAGAAAGGAGACTCAATTTAGTCCTCCATTAAAAAGCCAGATGTGCCAATATATCCCACTCTGCCCAAACTAAAAACCCTTTATGTGAAGTTATCATCACTAAATGGTGACCTTATGAAATGTTTAGCAAATACACCACTGGACACCAACAGAAGCATAAACAGCCCATTGCTTCACTCATGTTGACTCACCTCTTGAAGGTGGTACTTTTCTTCTCTTAGGTTAACCATATCTGTGTTTCTATCATCAGACTGAGACTTAAACCACAAGGCCTAACAGCTGTGGGTCTAGGGACATCCTTACAGCAATAACAACACACATACTCTCCAGGTACCTTTGTTATGGGCACTTGAATGGTGCTGTTTCACGGAGGCTGCCCCCCCGGTCATGAGGATCTCAGACCAGAGCTCCAGGAAGTTCTGCTGTTGGTCTGATACCAAGAGTACCTTCAGATTCTGGAAAGGGTTTTCACGGGGTTGCCTATGAAGGAGTCAGAGACACAGCAGCTTGGAATTAGAAGGGACTTTAGCATGACAGATACTGTCCAATAACAGCTCTTCTACAAAGGGGCTAAGGTACACAGGGATACTTTAAAAACCCCTGCATGCAGGCACCACCCCCACTTCCTCTTTCTGTGAATGATGTGTATTCTCTGGGATCATGGCCTTCTAATCACCCCTTCTGATTTCCATGTTTGTCCTGGGGCTAAAAATAAGTCCAATCATTTTTGACTTATCAAAAATCATTTTTGACTCAATCAAAAAAAATGAGTCTACATTTTTTTAAATACCTTGCTTAAAACTTAGTCCCCTAACTTTACAGGTTGAGAATATTGAACCTACATAAAAATGCTCATACATTTTCAAAAGGTCCCTAAGCAGTACTAGTGAAATAAACTAGGTGAACTGCTAATAAGCTCAAATCTATTCAAATTTTGTAATTTATTATGTGATCACTCTTGTTTCTAGAAAGTTACTCTAGATTCTTCCCCTACAGAGGCTTGCTATCTTCCTATCATTCTAGATGGGCTCTTAAATGCTCACCAATCCAGAATTCTTTGCTCCTCAAGGCTGTAACCAGCTGGCAGCAGATAATTGCGGTAATTCTGTAGCTGGTTGGCATGGCAACTGTCATGGACCCAGACATGAGACACACAAGGAATACCACTGGCAAGGCACAGGAAGTACTTCCGGGTTCGACAATGCTGATCCGCAATTAGGAGACACTGGTAAGCCGTGTTACACTGGAAGAAAAGGAGCAGAACTGATGGGTCTGGTGATGTCTATGGAAAGTCCCTGAACAGCCCAAGTCATTGACAACAGTTTTGAATACTTCTAAAATGACCCTTGAACGACATGGGTTTGAACAGCACTGGTCTACTTTACAGATTTTTTCAATCCACCCACACAGTTCAAACCCATGTTCAAAGGTCAGCTCCACTGCTGGGAATCCAGTATGGGAAGGGTCAACTGGTTATACATAAGTTTTGACTGTGCGAGAGGTCAACCCCCTGTAACTCCCATGTTGTTCAGGGGTCAACTGTACTACCCAAAATGTGATTGAGCCTGTGCTTCTGCCCAAGGTCTCTTTTCTCACTGACAGGCTCAATGGCTTCCCTGCATCTCTCCTTGCCTCACCTGCAGCTTTCTGGGGGCCTAAATCTTCAAGGGACAATTGAATTCCATGTACCCAGCATTTTAGGCAAAGAATTAGGAACACTATAACAGGAATTTCTATTAAGCAAAAATTTTAATCTGCTTTGTCTCAGCAAAAGACCCAAAGTCATTAACTAACCCAGATTCTAACTTCTCTTCCTTGTACACAGTAAAAACCCTATTTCACCCAACAATTTTTGGGAGTTTCCCAGTTCCTGGAATCTCTAGCTATTTGTCCTCGCAGGCCTCTTCTCACTATAGCAAGGGGACTCTTCATTACTGCCCTCCTGGGAGGCTACACAGAAACTCCTCACCTGAGCTTCATTGAAGTCTTCGAGAATATAGCCAGCTCCTGCTCGAAGCTGGGATTCTGTGTACTGCTTGTTGAAAGGAGGAATTTCTAAAAATTCTATATTAAAAGAAAAAAACCAGATAACCAAGATAACAGTTACTATTGGTTGGTTGCTTATTTGCTACTTTATGCCTGCTTTTTATGGCCCCTTTCCCCTCCCCAGCTACCTCCAGAGCACAATATCCCAAAGACAGCTCAAGGGCTTCCCCGTGGCTCAGAAAGAGGCCTATAAAGTGCTGCCAAAAGAAGGGACAACAACAGGTAGGGCAGGGAAGACAAGAAAAGGAGGTAGGCCCTAGACCTAAAAACATCAAACATTTCTGCACTAAGACTGAATCATTAAACTCTTCATAGAGGATGGACACAGCCACTGCCCCTAGTGATTTATTCCAGCTTGAGTAACCCATACCATCAAGTTCTTCCTCAGGTCTACCCTGAATCTGTCCTGCAAACTAAGCCCATTTCCTCTAATTCTGCCTTCTGTGGAGATGACAAATCTATTTAATACTTTCTATAAGAGAGCCTTCAAGTTCTCCCTTTATTATTTTACCTCTGTGCACTAAAACTTTCATAAACTAAAACACTCAAAAGAAAGTAGGGGTTTTCAAATTTAATGGATTAAGTGAAAATTTGCCAGAAAACCCTGTTTCAACTTTTTTATTGAAAACTATCTACCTTTGATAACCTTGAAGTACCTCAGGACACTGAATATCAATGACTGCTCTACAGTCTTGAGGATGAAGAAGTTATGAGATGAAACAGAAGCTGTAATGACCCTAGGCAATTAGAAATTGCTTCTTTTGACCGAATATCTAATTTGAGCTTGTTTTCTTGTTATCTGCTCCTCTTATATATAAATAACATTTTAAAAAGAGAAAAAAAGCAAGACATTAGCAATTTTAGTTATTAGGGGCTCTGTGAAATTAAGTGCTAATGAATTGATCACAAATAAAAATCCCAACCAAATGCATAAATGTTCACGCCAGGACCACTCCTCTTCCCTGTCACAGCCAGTGGTAAACCCTGGTACAGCAGACCCCTGCTGAGACAGCTCCCCCGCTTTGGTGCCCCCTCTGCTGCCTGCTGGAGCTGCTCAGGCAGTGCTGATGCCCCCGCTCTGACTGCCCAGCCTATTTACCTTGGTTGCTCTTTTCTTGATTCAGCATTCTACACATTTTTTCTCAAAATGAAAGCAAACTGGGAACTCAGAACATAGCAGGACTATTTCTCAGTTTTGTCACTGCATCTTTTTGACCCATCTCAGTATATCATGTCATAATTGTCAGTGCCAGCAATCCACTGCCGAGACACTGCTGAGGTCCTTTATTTTTCTCAAGACTTCTATTTTATGTCTGCTTAACCCAGGACTGTTTCTAGTTCTGACCTACTTAGATTTTAATTGCCACTTACATTTCTTTGCATTTATGTAATCAAATATTGCCTAGGTCTAGGCAGTCCATTTCTCTAATTTTTCTCAATTAGTTTGGATTTAATGTAAATTACTTTTGTCTTAGGAGTGACCCTGCCCAACCAGAGGCTAAAATGAATATTTTAAATCCCATCATTTAAACCAAGGATAAAGGTACTAAATAAACCTAAATCGAAGATAAAAGGTACTTTAGTACAGGTACTAAATCCAGAGTCACTCCCTGTGGCTGATGGTGTGCTCCCTAACAAGACTGGGTGCAAAATTCTGAACTCATTAGTTAAAATATCTGAAGTTAAATTCAAATATTTTACTGATCCCCTGACATCGAAGGAATTCCCATTTATCTGCAAAACATACCACATAGTTTCTTGAAAACTAATTCTGTAGAGGACTGTTTTAGTACAAATGTCTTCAGCCTTCTTGAGATTGAGGAACCTCTAAACATTCTCATGCCAAAAATATCAAGGATTTTGGTTCTGCTGCGGTAACGTCCAAGGATGAAAGCGCAACATAAAGCAGATATCTTCACCATAACCACACTTTCCACAAGAAACCTAGAGATCCCTCTAAAAAACTATCCAAATCCCTCCTCATTTAGACAAGGCCTACCTCCTCTCACTCACATTTATAGGATGAGGTTAAATACATTTACTGTATCAGCAAGGGAAAATGGAAGTTAGTTTTAAGTTTTTAAGATCTCACACAGGCTCACAGATTTTTAAGGATTAGACAGTCTGCAGTTCATACCAGAGCTGGTTTTCTTGACCATGATATACCAACCAACAAATAAAACATCACAAAGCTGCCCTGTGAAGCCCTTGTCTAGGGAAGAGTTAGGAGTGTGCTGGAGAACAAAGACTAGAGTCCAATAATACCGTGAAAGCAAAACACAGCAAGACCACGAACACTGTTTTGATGCCATGACACATCTCTTCCCAGAATCCTCAAGGGACTCCCAATTACTTATGATCAGAGTAAAACTACATTCTTGGCTAGGAAATTCCTCACGTACTTTATGTCCCAATGCACCTACCTGAATTCTGTCTGATAAACCAGGCTTGGTGTACACTTAACCTTGAAACTCCTAGACATGCCACACCTGTTCCCACACCCTAGGGCCTCTACACTGATGGCTCTGTTTAAGGACCTTCCAGAGAGCATAACCCTTAACTGCCACTCCCTCACCACCCTTCCCATGGCCCTGCACAGATCCCCACATCACTGTAGTTGCTAAGAGATGCTTTCAGTTAATTAGAAAAGAGTCAACCACACACCTGAAATGCCAACCAACACAAGTCTGCAGTGGTGCTATTTATGATAACCACGTTCCCTAATTCAATGCCTTCTTGCAAGACTCAACATTAGCCAGAACTCAAACTTGTAGAAAATATCATTCCATTTGGACCTTTAGCATTTACAGACACATCTGGGATGCTGCTGTCAGTCACTTATATTAAGTGTATACACTTGTACTGTCTACTTTCTCTCCTAGATCACACTTTAGACAGCTGAAATAATTTTACCTCTCTGCACCACAGCCTTCACTCAAATCCTAAGTAACGGATAACATAGAAATACAATGTATGGAGTTAGCTTAAGTTTAAAGAACAGTACAAGAGTTGAAAAGGCCTGGGAATATAGGGCCCTGGAGACCCCATATCCCCAGTCTCGTACACAGACCTCAAGTCAATGAACTTCACCCCATGTGGGTTTTCTCTGGCATTGCCCCTACAATACAGATGGGAATTCAGAAGCTTAACTGATTTGGATGACTGTAGTAGGGTACAATCGACACTGGGTTCTAGTCCCAATTCTACCATTACTGTGGACAAACAGCAATTATTTAACCTTTTCAAGCTTGTTTCCTCATCCATAAAACAGATGGTAAGATCTACCTCCCATTTGCCTAACAGGATTGTCTTGAGGAACCACTTATTAAGAGGAATTTTGTGAAAATAGACCATAAATTTTCCCTGACCAAGAAAGACCCAGTTGCTAACTGTCCTGCCTCCTCTACAGATGGCTGGGGGGGGCGGGGGGGGGGGCGGGGGTGGTGTCAGGCTCATAAAGTGAACAGAAAGGAAGAAATTGCACAGATGTCAAAACCCCCAGGGCTCCCTAGGGCCTTACCCTCCTCCTCCTCACTGCTTCCTGAAGGACCGTCTGGCAGTTTGGAACGGCTGGCCAACTTGTCACTTGTTGTGGCCATGGTAAGGAGAAAGGCATAGCCTAGAAACAAGGTCTTGTTGAGTGGCAAAGGGCCTCTCTGCTCGTCCAGGGTGGAGGGTTCACCCATGTTGTCTCCACTCTCACAGGGGCTCACAAACTCTCCTGCCCCCACCGCACCTGGAAGGACAGAGGCAGTCAGCAGACGGATGCAGACCATGGTCTGGGCACAGCACGGCGGGGAGGCAAGGTCCTGATGAACTTTCCCTCAAAGACCATTCCTATGGCCAACAACCTAGGATAAAACTAACAGTGCTGAGAAATTTCACATATTTACATTTTTCACTTCCAGGACAATGTACGCTTGTTTTCATAAATGAAAATCAACTAGTATTGCTCTTATACAGCCAAACCAAATACTTCTAAGGTCATGTGAGGAAAGAGGCAGTTCTAATACAAAGATTAGGTAATTGTGAAAATACTCTGATGTCTTCAGCCCGTTTCCCTGCCCGGTGCTCCGATTTTCCTCCAGGATATGTGTTACTTTGAAGCAGGCTTTAAAAAAAACACACAACACTTTATTACCAAGAAATGTTCCCAACAGACGAACCCTGACGTCACCAGAATGGTGTATAGAATACTTGGTAGTAAAAGTATTTTTGCATCTTATGGAGCCACATCACAACAGCCTGCTTCAACCGTCCTGGTCTCCACCACCGGCAGAGTAGGGAAGTGAACCAGCCAGCCCATGACTCTCAGAACACCCATGTTAGGAGTGCACCCAGTAAGACCTTGAGAAGAAAAACAAAAATACCTGACTTGGAGAAGCGGAATCGTAGGCTCATTAGGAGGCTAGGAGGACAGGTCATGCCTCCCTAAAATAAAACCAGCTGCAAGAGAACAGTGTGACGTAGTATGCATAAGCCTGGACTTCAAAGTCAGACTGCCTGCATTTGAATTCTGGATTACCTTGGGAAATTTAGCCAACTTTTCTGTGCCTCAGATTCTTTAACTGTAAGTAAATTCTAGCAGCACCTACAGCTCATAGGGATTATATGACGTAGTATGTACGAAGCACAGAGTTCCATGACTCACATACCCTAAAACAAGCAGAGGTGTTGGGCAGATACGGAGATGACACAACTCAAATACACAGGAAGCAAAAGGAGCTCTGGTGCCAGGATAATGTAACCACCAATAAACTTCCCCAGTTTGCTAGGCTAAGGGAGCTCCCTCGGGGCAGGTACTGGGGACTTTACCCCTGCATCTCCACAACCCACAGCAACTGGGTTCAGCCACAGCAGAGACCAGTATACAACAGAAGGACTGAACTCCTCTGTTAATATGAAGCATGAAGGACTGGCAAGGCGTTGTTTGAGAGATAGTAGGGAAAGGGGAGCTGCAGGTCCTAAGTGCCAGAGGAGAGCAGGGCTTCCAGAGGTAGAAGATGATGCCAGGCAAAGGAAGAGATCTAAAACAAATTTCACCTGTTTTGAATCTGCTTAAAATTCAACACTTCTCCTTTCCTTCCTACAACCTACACAGAAGTCAATGAATGTTTCCCATCAAGACCAGCCTATCTCCCTCCACTGCATTCTGCTGGGAAATGGGGAAGGGGGACTCAGAAAGCTGTCTGAGGACCTAGCACCTGTGGGCTTGTGAGGGCCTACAACTTTGTAGCCAGGACAGAGCAGCCACTGCCTCATGCTCCATCTCTCTAGCAGCTGACCTTGCATCTGGTTTATATGGCCACGGTCTGAGAGAGAATGAGGCAAAAGGGCGCACTTACCAGGTTTCACAGTGGTGGACTTCCGGCCTCTCTTGGCAGGGGACCGTTCCTCTTCAGAAGTGGTAAGTTTTCTTTTGCCTGAGAGAACTCCCGTGGAGGCACGAGGGCTTTCTGTGACCTTCCGGGTGGGGGTTGTGCTGCTGCTGCTGGACACAGTGGGCGTGGCCGGGGAGCCGAGGTTACTGCGCCGTTTCCGTTTCCCTTCCACCAAATTGTCTGTGACAGGGTAAGTCAAAGGTTGGTCAACTCCTATGACACAAGGCCCCAAACTCCAAAATGCTGGGCAGAGCCTGATTTAGACACCACTGTGGCCTTTCATCAGCCCCCACAGGGGCAGGAAGCCTCTTTGAAGGCCACCATGTTTTTCTATTTCAATCTCTGAATTGTATTTGTTCCCCTACAGAACTGGGGAGGCCAGAACAATCTGAGGACTTGGGTAGTGGCTCCAGAAAATGACACCTCATCACCATCTCGTGAACCACAGAGGACTAATAACATTTAGGGAAGCATCCCTCCCACCACAGGGAGGGCAGGGGCCCACAGGCAGCTGTTCAAGAGGCAAAGGTCTTACCTAAGCTGATATCTGCTGCCTTGGTGAGGGGCGTTACTGCCTCATACGGGCCAAGGCCATACTGCTCTCTCAGTCTGTTGCCTTGCTCCAAGGACAGGATGACAGACATTCGCTTATACCACTTCCTTTGGCCTTCCTTTTCAATGCTGTAGTACAGCTCTCCGGACTCCTTCCTATGACCTTTCACCACTCCTGGGTGAAGAAAACATAAAAGCAGCTTGATGCTGTTTCACTGCCCAGCATCCGCTCACAAAGCTTTGCAGAACAGGCTAGGTCAGAATTAGTTGATCCAACAGTGGGCTGAAGTTAGGATTTATCAAAATCCCAGCTGGTGATCCCAAACACCACCACCACTTAGGATACACATAGTTACTACCCTGACCTTAAGCCAGGGAAAGTTCCTCAACAGAAGAAACCATTATAAAATAAAGCTACCTAAAGCCAGGCTTTATGGATTGTAGGTGGTTCAAATCGTTCTTGAAGTGAAATGGTATGTGGTCTCTTAATGATCCCATTATTTTTTAAATTTTTATTTATTGATTTGAGAGAGAGAAAGAGAAACATCGATTTGTTCTTCCCTTTTTTGATGTGTTGTTTTTCGTATGTGCCCTGACTGGGGATCAAACCCACAACCCTGCCTTATCAGGATGATGCTCTAACCAACTGAGCTACCCAGTCAGGGCTTAATGATCCCATTATAACTTACTAATTCTTGTCTTTTTTGGAGGCTGAGTGGTAATTCTTGAGTTAAGCTGTAGGTGAAAGATGACATCATTCTAAGAGAGAATGCATTTGTCTGTGTGTTTATTTCTGTGTAGCAAAATAAAAGTTGAGATAGAGCAAAGAAAGGGAAAAAAATCCTGCCTCTCCTGCCTAATCTTCACCCCTATTATCTACTTTCCTGTTCTTGCTCTGATTCGGAACTTAAAGGTAGGCCTTTAGGTTAGAAAAAACAGAATGTGGGTATAAAGGACACTGGGCTAGAATTAGAAGACCTGTATATAGGCCTAATTCTACTGCCAGCAAGCTGCGGCAAGACCTGTTTCCAATCCTATGAAAAAGATGACACTCCTTCCCCTCTATCAAGCAATAAACAATGTACACACACACACACACACACACACCCTACATACATAAAACCAGGGCATTAATATAAACACTTTTTCATTCCCTTAAACAGAAGGGTCTACTTGTTCTCTCCCATTAGTCTAGGCTTGAATAAAGGGCTTAAAGAAAGCCAGAACCTAAGCCACCAAGGGAAAAAAAATACAAGGGAGAAAGCAGGCCGAAGTTCTCTCCTATGTACGCCACACAATCTCTCTCTCTCTCTCTCTCTCTCTCTCTCCCCTGTGTGTTCACCTCCTGGCCTAAATTTCCCATCACCAAAATAAATCACAAAGACCCTCAAAAGCAAAAAGAAGCCCAAGTCCAACAGTGCATGTCCCACTAACGAAGAGCCGCTGGAACTAGAAGTGGTCCAGCGCTGACATTAGCGGACAGCCTCAATAAATGGGGACACAGAATCCCACTCTTGATGCCATAATTCGCTCTGGATACAGAATTGTTTCTTTGTTTTAAGAGGGCCAAACATGGACCTCCAAGGGTGGCTTTACCCCTGAAGGAAGAACAAATGCATTTGATAAGAACTATACAAGTCACGGGTCATAAAAGACCTTGACCCATATCCTACTAACTGATGTCACACAGAGCTAAGTTTTAACCACAACTAGAAAGTGAAGTGGCCCATTTAACACTAAAACCAAGGGCCAAACATCAACTACTCAGGAGTCCAAGTCACAAAGAGTCTGGAGAGACCAACAGGGAGGCATTTTTGCCCACTATATCCTAATCCATGTTCAAAAAAATCCCCAGAAAGGATCATTTTAAATGACAAACTCAATACAAATATGTAGCGCACAAAAACGAGGCAATATATTCAAAGAACTGGCACATGAAGTACGCATCGCAATCAGAAATCCCTCACCATCACAGTACAGGAAACTGGCCACTTAGGGGAAAAAAAACAAAACAGGTACCATTTTTTCAAACCAGAAAGTAAATGGCGGGTGTGTGGGCATACAAACACAGCACTAACAACTTCTTCCTCGGCAAAAATATCTCAGTATACCTGCCACACTCACCTACTAGGTTCCCATCAAGGCAGGCAGTAAGTTTAAAAGTTGGTGAAAAAACAGAGATCGGAAAGGGAAAAACCCTAACTGCACAGGGGAGAAACCTGGCAAACACGGCCTTCACCTAGTGACGAAGGTTAACATCACCAGCACTGTCCTGTGGCTGTCACATACCCTCCTCCCCCATACGGTGTGATGAGAAGGACACTTCCCCTCTGCAGCATTCTTTTCAAAAACCCATACTCCAGTCTAATCAGGAGAAAACATAAGATAAATGCAAACTGAAGGACATTCTACAAAATACCTGAACAGCACTCCCCAAAACTGTCAAGGTCATGAGAAACCAGAAAAGATTCAGAAACTATCACCAATGAGAGGCAATCAAAGAACACCAGGGGATTAAATGCAATGTGGTGATCCTGCATTGGGTCCCCAACCAGAAGAGGGGCGTGGAGAAGCTGGTGAGATCCAACTAAAGTCCAGTATTTAGTTAATAGGAACAAACCAAAGTTGGTTTTTAATCCTTACCCAAGGATATTTGTTTTCATTGCTTTTAGAGAGAGAGGGAGGGAGAGAGAAGCACAGATTGGTTGCCTCCCACGTGTTCCCAAATGGGGGATCATACACACCCAGACCAGGGATCAGTCCCAAAACCTAGACACAAGGGGGCACCAAAAAAAACTGGAACAGATGGGGGAAGACAGGGGGATGTTTCCACTGCTCAGAGCAGTTTTTGAACTCATCGATTTTGATATCTTTTAGTGATTCTGCTGTTTTTTGTTTCACCTCTTCCACATTGGCAAAATCATTTCCCTTTGAGAACTTTTTCATCCAGGAAAACAAAAGAAAGTCAATCGGGATGAGATCGGAGGAACAGGGAGGATGGGGCATGGGGTTGCGCTGTTTTTGGTCAAAAACTGAACACTCAGCACCGTGTGGACAGGTGAGCTTGTAAATCACCCATCATGAAATGGGCAAACATGCCGAATCTTCAAAAAAAAAATCCACTGAAGCCAAATGCAGCCTCTCACACCAGCTGGTACACCAATACAAACGGGTTCCTACAACACTCACCAAGCAGGGGAAACTGGTTTTTTAGGGTTCCCCTGCCCCATATGTGTCCTGACCAGGAACTGAACCCACAACCTCTCAGTTATGAAAAAACTCTCCAACCAACTGAGCTATGCTGACCAGCACTGGTTCCTTAGTACTGACAAATGCTAATGTAAGATGTTAACAATAGAAAAGCTGGAAAGCTGGGTGAGAAATATATGGAAATTCTCTTTACTATCAGTGCCCTGTACTTTGCATATTTTCTGTAAGTACAGAATTTTTCCAAAATAACACATTTATCAGAAATAAACAAGCAAAAGACAACAAAAAAGCCCATGGTGAGACTAACCAGGGTGGTAGGAATAGAATTTCTGACAAAGAGGACTGCCCAGAGCACAGTGAATCTCTGCAGACTGCTTTTCCTGTTACCTGCACTGAAATACTCGTCCTCCGAGAGAGCTGTCACTTCCGTATCCAGCGGGATGGGGTCACACAGCAGAATGTCTTTGCCCAACACATCACACTCGTACCCGTCATCAAAGAGTAATTTATACTTCCCAGCTCCGACGTCTTGTGTGATTTTCCCAGAGTAAAAATAGCCATTAGATGACCACTTGGCAACAACGCGGAGCCCCACAAAGCTGTTCCCTGGAGAGGAAGCATCTAAGCCATCCGAAGACCCAGCAGCCGCCTGGAAAGGGATCTCTGGGGAGTTGCTTCGACACAAAGCACCAGCACCCATGTCTCCTCGTCTGGTGGAATCTGGCATTCTTGGTGTGATGCGGGTGAAGGATTTATCGTCTGGTGACATGCTAGGTGAAATGTCCTCTATGCCCACTGGGCCAGGCACAGCTGTTTCTCTAAAGAGAGTAAGAGAGAGGAGAAAACAGTGAGAATGAGGAGAGAGAAACACCCAGCAATTTTCCCACTCCTCTGTCCATGGGTCTCTTCAGCCCATTTTTTGATGACCCCGTCACAGGCATAAGCCTGGTCTCTCCGTGGCCTCACACTGATCCCTGCCCACTCCCCAGTCAGTATGGGCCCCTCTTCTCCCTCCTGACACCCCACATACTCTCTAATCCCCTCTCTTCTTTCTACGCCCTTTTTTCCTAAACAAGTCATAGACTAAGTATATCTCACACTACCCGGGTACCTGTTTCCAGTGGTCCGAGAAGGCGGGCGGCCCCTTCGCCCGCGCCCACGAGGCGTGACTGGAGCCTTCCCTCCCTGTCTGATGCCAAGGCCTGCATCACCATCCTCCTCACACACTGGCGCCCCTGTCTGACTGACCCCTTTTCTAGGACTAGAGAATGAAGACAGGTTAGTCTGATAGCACCTGCTACTGAATCCTTTCCCCAAAGTCTCCCCTTGGCCCTCAGACTACATGTCAGGCCAACATGTGCTGGGCCTCCAGGGCAGCAGGGAGCTGGTCCACACACCCACCACCAACACATCAGCTGGGAGTGGGAATGCAGGGTACCAAGGACATCCTCCTCTACACAAGTCTATTCCCTCCTGACAAAGTTTCCTACTGCTGCCCTCAAAAACAGCACACGTTCTCTTCTACTTCAGGCTCTGGACATCTGCAGAGGATAACAGAGAGCTAGGGCATGTGTCACGTTGGGGTCACTTGCCAAACTTTCTGTATTTCTAACCAAAACACTTGTAGGTTGCAAAAAAAGGGGGTGGTAGGAGCATGTGCCAGCACCATCAAAGTCCCCTCACCTGTTTTCCACATTTTCTAAGGAAGTCTAACTCCCACAGACGGCACCCTACCTCCTGAGCAAATCCCAAACAGAATAAGAACAAAAGGGGAGGAAAAGGACTTAATTTTTCCTAGATGGAGGAAGGGGTGGGGAATGTTCCCATTACTCCCCTTTTCCTGTGATATTTAAAATGTCAACAACCCTGCCCTTGCCGTGGCTCTCTCTCTGGAAACCCTGTCTGCACCTCGGTTTTCCTGTGCTTCCTCGGGAGCTTGGCAAGGCAAAATCTGCGGGTTCTGTCCCGCTGGTTTTCCCTTTGAGTGGTCCGGCTCCTCTCCCTGAGCTGCCACTGCTGTGAATGGCTGAGAGACTCGTCCCACTTGATGTGCGGTGTAAGCTGGATGCCTTGGAGGAAAAGGAGCTGATGTCGCCCAGGTCACCTGAGGAGCCCCCAGTCTTTGAAGGGGAAATTTCAGATTCACACTCCCGACATTCTACAACTGGCTCTTCAGTCTCCTGCAAGGAAGAAATAAATACAAAAGCTAAAAGAAACCACAATAACATAATGTTAATATGACTGTTGGAAAATCTAGAGATGGCATCCTCTGCTTGCCCAATGTGCAATGTTATTAATTAATAACCTGGGTGCCTTTGCTCACCAAGCCTTCTATACGGAATACCCTTTCCCCTTATCTCCCATATCTAAAACCTTCAAGTGTCCATCTCAAATCTAAGCACAAAACTCCCTTTCCCCCAAATTCTTTAATGGCTCTCCATCAAACAGAAGACAAAAATCTAAACTCTTTTCTATGGCACACAAAGCCCTTATGCTCTAGGCCCTTACCAACCTCAACAGCATCCTTTCTCATTGTTCTCCACTCTACCATTCTTATCATACTGAGTTTATAAATATTCATTAAGCATGCCATGCTATCTACATATTTACTCAACTTTTCATTCTGCCAGCCATGTCCTTCTCCCGCACCTCTCAATGTTATCTGCCACACTCTTGGGCGCTATATATTCTGTGAGGCCTTTTAGCCACTTCCAGGCAGGCTAATAGGCTCCATCTCTTCTTCCTAATACATCTTTCCACACCTCCATTGCAGCAACCAACAAGTTGCATGTGAAGTATAAGCTCCTAAAAAACAGGGACACTGTCTTTTTTCTTTTAAGATTTTATTTATTTATTTTCCGAGAGAAGGGAAGTGAGGGGGAGAGGAAGAGAAACATCAACTGGTTACCTCTCTCACGCCCCCAACTGGGGACCTGGCCTGCAACCCAGGCATGTGCCCTAACCGGGAATCGAACCAGTGACCTTTCAGTTTACAGGCTGGTGTACTCAATCCACTGAGACACACCAGCCAGGGCAGGACACTGTCTTTTTATCTTCACACTTCCAGTGCCTACCAACATGCTAGGATCATAGTAAAAAGAATCTGCTGGTTAATAAATGAATAAAATCTTTAAAAGATGCTAAACAAAGGCAGCAAGAGATGAGACAAGGAAAGTTCCCAGAGTCCTCTGACCTCAGCCTGTCCACCTTAACACCACTACCCATCTCTGTGTGCACAGCAACTAGAGCAGACTGTTCCCACTTGTGTTTTGTGTACTTTCTGCTTCTGTGCTTTTGCTTTTTGGAAGCCTTCCATATGGAATACCCTCCCCTTATCTCCCAATATCTAAAACCTTCTGTGTCCAACTCAAATACTTCCTGGTCCATTCCAGAAAGATTTTATCTAAATTTCCCTTCAGATGAGTTTCTTCCTCCTCTAAACTACTATACACACTTTCCTCTTGGCACACATTACTTTCACTCTTAAAAGGCAGTGTAGTGCAGTGGTTAGGAATGTGGGCTCTGGAACTAGACTGTCAGGGTTGAATTCTATTTCCTCTATTTATAGCTATGTAGCCTTAAGCCAGTTAACTTGCTGTGCCTCAGCTTCTTCCTCTGCAAAATGGGAGAAACAGTACCTATATCAAAGCTTAACTATGAGGCTTAAATAAATTAAATCATTTAAAGTCCTTAGAATGGTACCTGACATATAGTTAGTGCTCAATAAATGTTAGTTGCTATCATTCTTTTATTTAATTATGGCAGTGCTTCCCAAACTATACTCCATCGGAGTATAAAGTAAATAATATAAAGTAAATATTACTTTAAAAAATATTTATGACCATGGAAATTCATTTTCTCCTCAGAGTATCTAGCAGGCCTGCTGTTTCCAGAAAATATACTTTAGAAAACACCACAGAACATCATTAAGTAATATATATAACACCTGACATAGTACCTGCCATAGAGTTCAATGTAGACTTACACCAGTCACAAAAATGTTTCATGAAAGCAAACTGTTTCTATAAAGCTGCTAAGTTCACCTGTTTTACAAAGTAGCAATAACACTGAAAAAATTACACAAACTTGTAACTGAAGATGAATCAACATTTTACAAGAAACATTTCTGGGACTATTATTATTTGGTGTGTAATAAATAAAGGATACAAATAATTTCTCACACTAGTGCCAAATGCATTAGTTTGACACTTTCTCACACGAGGGCCACAATGGCCCATTAATAAATTACAGCATTAATATATTCCATTTAATAAAACTGCATACCAGAGTTTCATTATTCCTGAGTACAGCTTCCTACAGGACTAGCTGGCAGAATTAAAGTGCCTGAGTGAAGGCAGAAAACAGCAGTGCCTCTTATCAATTAATAAAATGTTTCCCAAATGTTAGCATATGTACTAAGAAAGGTGCCAGATCTTCAATCCAGAAAATCTGTGTAATTTCAGCCAGTATTAGATGTAAACAAAGTCAACATATAACACTGTCCAGTATAACAGTCAATAAATGCCAATATTATGCTGACATTGGGAATGAGTCCTACTGATGAATAAAGGTGCACTGCTCACCAACTGGTCCATAACCACACAGGATGGAGACCAAGAAAGGACATGTGAACAAACATGAAGACACATGAGAATGAAAACTAATGAGAAAACATGCAGCCTATCAAGAAATTCTAAAATGCATTAGAATCTCCAAGGATTAAAAATGATACATAAAGTCTTTATATTTATTCTCGTGTATGACAGAGATTTATCAATCTGTTCTTTATAAAAATGGAAAGCAGGATGGGACTGGTTAAATAAGTGGCCAGAGGTCAAACAGCAAACCCATGGTTGGAAAAGACACCAGGTTCAAGACTCCTGGTTTCTAAGCTGGTTCTCATATCTCCCTAACACAAAGATGGAGGAAAATGAAGTGCTAGTAGCCAGCGGCACAGGAAAGAGGGGAGAGGTGGCAGTGAAGTGCCAGGGTAATTTTTCTGAAATAAATTTGCCACATAGACCCAGAGTATATATTACCTCAGTAACTTTTCTTTCTACTTCCGTTCCATCCACATAATATACATCTGTGATGACACGAGTGACGAGCGTGCGAACCTCATGGATGGTTCTCATGTGCCGGTGCAAGACGTGGCCACGTGGGGGCTGAGGCATATCAAACTCTTCCTCTCCCTGTGATAGAAAATACAGAACACAAGCATAGGTCTCACTGCTAATGGGCAGAATCACAAATCAGCTTCTTCAGGGTGAACACTGTTCAGAGGTTCCATGAATCTAGTGTGATGAAATTTTCCAGCTGCTTTGCTCTGTATTCATTCACCTACAGATAAAAGCAGGGATGGATCAGCTCTATAGCCAGAGGCCAGGAAGAATTCGTACCAGTATCCCTGAAAATGACCTATTTCTGCCTAAATAAGTTGTAACATCTAGCACTTATATCTAAGATATTTAAGTAAAACATTATTTCTAGATTGTGATCTTTCAAGTTTATACTTGAAACACTCTTCAGATAACAGGAATGCATTCTCTAGAACATTGTATAAAATCTGTTCATCTCAGTGCCGTTTGTTTTACCTGCATTAGTAGGGAAAACTATAGTTGATTTATATCTGGAACAAGATAGGTTGATTTCTCCTAGAATTAAATATGAAATATTTAATATTCCAAATAGTAGGTTATAACTAAAGAACCGAACTAGTGTCCAGAAACAGAACACATTAGCAATTAGGATTTTGTGCCTGGTTATACCAAAAAGAATAATCAGTTAAATAGTTTAAATAAGACCTACATTTTTACAACAACTGTTACATACATGTTTCTCCCAGCACCTATATCACATTATCCACATTCACACCCTCCCCCACTGGCTCTGATTCTGAGGTGGAGGGAATGCCCACGTGTTCTCCCCTCTTACTGCCCCTGTAGTAGACCAATTTTACTTTCAGTAGTCAGTGTCAACATATCCAAGTATTTCAAAGAATTGTATGTACCACTACAACAATGGAAAGTCTGCGCTTTTTCATGACAATGTAGTTGTGATTTACTTACAGCTTTCAATAATTTACCTGAATAATTCCTACTCCAACCCCATCTCAGAGGTAAAAGACATACTAAAATGGAGCTATATAAATTATGTAAGTTATAAAAATGAAATAAAAAGCATGGAATGTTGCTCAACCGATTCTTTAAAATACTTCTACACAGACAACTCTGGGTAATGAATGGTCTGAGCACTGGCCTGTCCCACCTGAATCGTCAAGGTGCCCCTGCAGCAGAGCCATGCCAGCCTGGACCTCTGGCCTGAACACACACGTGGTTGGGTCCTGGATCAGAGGGGTCCAGAAGATTTTAGTGCTTTACTTAGTCCCAAAATGTGGCCAAGAACCCTCCCTGTAATTCTTCCATTACAACAGCCAGACAAATGAGTTTCAAGAGAGACACTTAAACATAGCTGATAAAATAAGAAAGGAAATGACAAAGGGCAGATAAAAAGAAAGCTGTGCTTACTCTTTCTTTAAATAGTCTTCTGAACAGTGATTTCTATAAAGATAAAATAACTTGAGAATCTGCCCTGGCTGGTGTAGCTCAGTGGATTGAGAGCAGGCTGTGAACCAAAGGGTCTCCAATTCGATTCCCAGTCAGGGCACATGCCTGGGTTGCAGGCCAGGTCCCCAGTAGGGGACACATGAGAGGCAACCACACATTGATGTTTCTCTCCTTCTCTTTCTCTTTCCCTTCCCCTTTCTCTAAAAATAAATAAAATCTTTTAAAAAATGATAACTTGATAATCTTGCCATTATTAGAGGAAGATAACAAAATGAAAATGAATCCATACTTTCCCTTCATAGAAAATGTGGCTCCAAACCAACTCAAAAATTTAAAAAATGTCGAAGGTAGACTACTTACACTCTTCTTCAAGCACTGGCCTGAGTCCTACCCAGACTGCAGAGAATAAAAAAGCTCTTACATTTGGAAAACCTCATTTTCATTCACATTGTTGTGCAAACATCACCATATTCACTTCCAGAACTTTTTCATATTTCCCAACTGAAACTCTATCCATTCACCATCTATCTTTTTCTAGCATCTTTCTTTTCTTAGCTGGAGCAACTAGGTCCTAAATGTGTTACATTACTCTGCAGGACATGGGAGTATTCTACTAGCAGTATCAGTGGTGGTTGTGGTAGTGACAGCAGCAATAATAGTATTTAAAATAATAATCATCAATAAGTAGTAGCAGCAGCCAACATTTATAGACTACTCACTGCGCCCCAGGCCCAGTGCTGAGGGCTTTGCATGCCTTACCCCTTCTACCCTCACAATACGCAGATGAAGTGCTCTGACTCCAAAGCCTGGGCCTTAACCACACCGCTCACTGGTTCCTATCATCACTCCTATCTCTGATGAGATAGGAGAAAGGATTATTTCCCTATTTTACAGAGGGAGAAAATAAGGAAGAAAAGGAAAATATAAAATAGTGGCTCCCACATGATTACTATCTTAAGATCAAGTTTAACTTTTTATGAAGGCAGAGAAACCAAAATTATGTGGCAGAATGAAACAGTTTAAATTAAGGGTGAAAATAAACAGACTCATAAAAGGATCTGATACGCTACTGCCCCTATATCCAAAAGGCTATTGCTATTTTCAATCTGTACGAACTGAAAAGATCTTAGATCTCACAGACTGTGTTACTATAAATTTTTGAAGAGGCATGGATAAACAGAACAAGACTACACAGGCCATGATTTAAAAACAGAAAAGTAACATAGCATAATGAAAAAAAAAAATACCGATTCTGAAGTAGACATGCTGAGTTCAAATTCCAGTTCTGCCACCTACTGATGGCAAAATCTTGGGCAAGTTACTTAACCTCTCTTCAGCTTGGATTCTTTACCTGTGAAATGGGAATAACAATACCGACCTCACGGGTTGTCTTGAGCACAATGCTGACACACTGTAGGTGTTCAATAACCAGGAACTAGTTCCCTACTCTATTCCCAAGAGCCTGTTCTTCCTCCAGCCTCACTTTCATCAGCCCCAATCCTTTTCTCCCATTAAGCCTTTCTGCAGCCCCTGGTCCCGGGGAGGCTTTTCCCTGCCTCTCTCTATCCCTGTTACCATTCTTTGTTTCTAATCCTGCGACACACTACCCTTCATACTTCTACTCCTTCCTCTTTTACTGTCTACTCTCCCAGTTCCAAAGACCCATGGCGAAACAGACTCAGAAGAAAAGGAGTTAGCTCTCATAGTCATAAAGGAGGATGAAAGATGACAGCTAAGGGAAAAGACTGAACAACCGGAAAGAGTACAGGACCCGACCCTGACTGGTGTGGCTCGGTGGGCTGGGAGTCATCCACAACCTGAAGGGTCGCCTACTCAATTCCCGGTCAGGGCACATGCCTGGGTTGCAGGCCAGGTCCCCGGCTGGAGGAGCGTGAGAGGCGACTGATCAGTGGTCCCTCCCCCTTTCTTATTCTCTTCCCCTCTAAAAATAAATAAATAAAATCTTAAAATAAAAAAAAGAAAAAAGAGTATAGGACCCAGACTATCTTCCTGGCTTTCTTTTCTAGTCAAGACCTACTTGACAAACTCTAGCACCATTCCATTTTCCCTAAAAGACGATTTATTGGTTATAGCTACCTACCCATAATTTTCACTAACCTCTCTCTGCCCTGAGATGAAATTCAGTTGTTTTTGTCTTTTAATCACTGGTCTGTACAAAATTGTTAATAATTACCATTAGGTAAAAGTACCACAAATTAAATTCTCCAGGAATCCAGAAAGTTACAATCAGGGCCCCTGGGGTACCCGGTAAGCTCTCTCACCTGGCTGTGGAGGGACTCTGTATCGTCCCCAGGAGCACTGACTGGTTTCTCCCCAGTCCCCTTCTCAGTCTGAACTGTGGCATCCTGTTTTCCAGAGTTCTCGTCCACTGTGCTGGTCCCCTGTTCACACACATTCTTTACAGTCTGGGTTGCTGCTGAAACAGTTTCTGGGACCCGTAGGGAACACTCTATGGTCTGAATTCCTACATTATTTTGGCTGGGCCTTTCAATCAAGGCCTTACTAGGTTTTTCCTGGTTGGTATTCCACCCTTCTTTCTGGCCTTCCAGCACATCTGTCTCCATTGCTTCACCTTGAAGACTGGCTGGCCCCTGTATGGCCACCAGCTGGGAGGCAGACAAAAAGTCTTTGACAGGACTGCTGGGCTTTATCATTTGTTGATGTTGCCTGGTCCTTTGGTCACCTTCCAATTTTCCCTTCTCTGCTTCATCTTGAGTACTTGGAAAATGGAGTAAGTTCCCCCTAAGAATCAACCACATAAAAAAAACATGTCAAGTAAGCGCACATGCGTATACGTGCTGGTTCACATGCGTGTGTGTGTGCGTGTACTGGTAAGGGGGGGGACCATAATTTGACAATATGAAAAATGTGAGAGAGAAAATAAAATGAACAAGAATATCACCTTATGAGGTTTCTCATTACAATTTCACTCCTGTAGAAAAACAATGGCACACAGGACTATTCCATCACGATGGTAAAATAGTCATAACATTTCTTCCCATCACTAGCTATGAACTCTGACATAGGAAAATAAGTTGAACAAAAAGATATAAAGCCATTATTGAAGTCACAGACAATGAAGGCAGCTTAGGGGTCTACTTCTAAAAAGATCAGTTAGATCAAGGGGACTCTTGACTTTATAAATAGTTCTAACATTCTTTAAATGACACCTAGCCCTGACCGACCAGGTAGCTCAGTTGGTTGGAGCACTGTCCCGATACACCAAGGTTGCGGGTTCAAACCCATGGTCAGGGCACAAATGAGAAACAACCAATGAATGCACCAATAAGTCAAACAATAAATTGATATTTCTCTCTCTTCCTCTCTGTAAAATAACGTATTTTAAAAAATACCACCTAGCATTTTAGATATATTCAACCCTAAACAACAATTTCAGCAAAAGAAACCTGATCTGTAAAGGACAGAGTTGTAGGTAAGATTCTAGCTTTGCCAGCTATACTGGTACATCTACAACTAACCACTTCAGAATGGCGCGGTGCCTCAGAGACAGTTCTCAAGATACAGCCTACAGTACTTCATTAGTCTTACCATCTGGCTATCAGTGACTTACTTACTTCACAAGCATTTGTCTCCTGCAAACCAGATATCGTGAAGCAATGAGGTATCTGGTGGCTTTCTCAAACGTCCTTAACAATACACCAGAATAAAAAGGCCCAAGTGAGCAAGTTACACAGAAACTTAACATTGATGTCTTATTCAAGTTTATATCTAAAATACCTACCACAGGGATTAATATAAAGTTAAGTGCACAATAAATGTACTTTAAACAAAAGAATTCATGTTCTCTCAATTAACTGCAAGAATCCTCTCTGATTAAATAAGCTAACTGTATGAGCAAGTGCATATAGAAAATGCCCATAACCCTGAATGTTTTAGTAAATTACAAGTTCAAATGAGTCCAGTATACTATAAACCACAACAAACTAATGCATTTTTAGGTTACATTAAGTGCATAACAGCCAGAATAAAGATAAAAGGATCCATTCCAGCCTAAGAACATATCTGGAATCTCTTTCACTTTGTGATGTCATATTTTACAAGGCATAAACCAATAAACCCCCAGATTTAACATTCAGGATGATAAAGGGTCTAGAAACTATGTCATCTGTTGCTCTAAGCATTTGGCCAGAGAAAGATGGAGATGCTCATCTACACAGAAAAAACTGTCTCCAACTTGGGAGGAGCTCTCACCCTTAGGGATTGCTCTGCTGTGGATCTTGAAGAAGAAAGAAATGGAGAGGTTTCTGAGGTTTCTATCTTATTTAGCTCAGTCTACCAAAACAGGAAGTCAACAAGGGACTTAGAATAGAGTTCTAGCCAAGAGCTGGGATACATTTTGTTGTTAGATCTTATGTCCTGTGTGTCAGGAACCTCAGCTGAGTGAAATATATGATCCAATGAGGAAGACATGAGAATAAGATCACCAGAAGACAGATGAGTAACACCTACCTCTGATGAAGTTTGTAAGGGTGGTCTTATATAAAAATTTCTTAGCATGGTACTAGGTACACAGCAGATGCTCAATCAGTATCAGTTGCATCAGAGAAAGCAATTGGGGAGATGCATTTCATTTTCTTCATAAACTGAATACTCATGTTTGAATCTTTAAGACATCTAACATATCACAGCTAAACAGCAATAACAGTGAGTCAAAAAACTAGAAGGGACATGACTTGATTAACCATTTCAAGAATTCAATGACCATTGTTCTCCAAGCTTAAACAAGCCTACACATTTTTCTTCAGAAGCTATTTAGGGTAGAACTGCAGAATAGATTTTACCTTCTAAAACGAAGCTTTGTTTTCTTTGGGACCTTTTTATTCGTAATCAATAAATGTTAGATTGCTTCCCCCCCCCCCAAAGAGTTCATCAGAACAATTCTTCTCTAAAGACAAAAGGTGTCTCATTGCAGTATAAGTAATGTTTAGCAAATTCCTATCAAATACCAGAATTTTGTATTTGTCATTCTTATATTAGCATCAGTCAAATGAAATGATGTTAAAATCATAATCAGTTCCCACCCAGGATCATAGGAAATACATACAGTTTTGGCTGGCAAGACTGCTGACTAAGGCCAACACAGAACAATGGACAGAAACCCAAAGCCTCACTGCAACACATACTGCAGAAAGTGCTGCCCACCTCTGCCAAGTTCATACATTTTTAGAAATAAAGCAATGAGAAATATCTACCACAGAGATGTATATGAGTATCAATGTCCCAAGAAACAATAAAGAAATCTTTAGCACCAGAACAAAGAGCATTAGAAGACAAGAGAAATCTGATATATTGTAAGAAGGACCACACCTCTCTTCATTAGTTCCAGCTACACAGTCCTACTCTGGTCACTCTATGCCAGGTTCGAAACTGATGCAGAGAAAGAAATTCCAGCATAAAAAGGCCTGGACAAATTAATCCTAAGTGAAACAAAGAAGAATAAATCTCCTTATTTAACAAACTTCTAACCACTCTGTTCTCAGTGTAGATCTATGAAGTAAATGAGGCCAAATCCAGCTGGATGTGTGCTGGCCCTTGTTCTGCCGAAGTTACACAAGATCACTGGCATGCTAGCCACCTCTAATTTAAGATATTCTAATAAAATAGGAAAGCAATACAATGCCCCTGATAAATTTGGTAATTGCTAGACCACTACCATACCAATTTTGGAACCACACAAAGTGACATTTCACCCAACAAGTTTCTTGATATAGTAGAGGGACGTAAGTTGGGCTAGCGGATTCCCAAGAATACCAACAAGCTCACATTTAATCATCAGAATGCCCAATAAAAGCACCCATGTTTCTCTTAAATATTTCTATCAATAAAGAATACAGAAAGTACACTGTAAGTAACACTATTAGATACCTGCAGACAAACGTTAGTTAGCACATGCTCTAATTACAAACTCACTAAATTCCAGAGATGACAGATGCCATCTCATAATAAAAATACAAGCTTATTTCCATTGTCATTACTTCCTTCCCTATACTGAAAATAATACTCATATATTCCAAACATTTTTTATTATTTAAATAGAAAAGAAATACTTTGTAACTCAAACAAAATGTTTTCTGCTTCAAAGCTGTTCAAAGAGATTATGGAGTAAAGAAATTATGATAAAATCTTAATTTCATCAGTTCTGACAAACTTTAAATTGGGGTGTTGAGCATCTATCTCAGTTTTGCCCTATGGGTGACTAAAGGGAAAGAAAAGGTCTGTTAAACATTCCCAAAACTAGGAAAAAGGGAATAAATCTTAGAAATATAGAATGACAGTTTCATAAATTTATGAAGACAATCATTTCAAATTGACAGAACTGGCAGATAAGGACAAAACTTTGCATCTATAAAACATTCAATAAAACGTCTGTCTCATGACACCTCATCTTAATGCCATTTAGAATATGCCACCATTCCTCAGATAAAAAAGTAAGCTCAAGTTCACAAAATTATAGCACTATATTCTAGATTTTGGTAGCAACCATTTCATGAGTCAATATAACCCACAATATACTTCAAAAATAATGCTCGCCTGGTAGGTGCGGAGCAGGGATCCTGATTCCGAGCTTCATCCTCTTGCCGGGCTTCACAGACACAGCTAAGCAAAGACATGGCTGTCTGGGGACTAAGATAAAAAAGCAATATACTGTGTTAGTTTTGAAAGGAAACTCATACCTCTGAAGATTATCCTTTTAGGCACAGAGGGAATAAAATCATTTTTCTGCATCTAAAACTCCAAAGTGCCTTACACCAAAATGCAAATCCCTCCCTACAGTACTTATTTCAAATTAGCTTAATTAAAAACTCTCAAGAAAGAGTCACAGGAAATAAGGTAGACACACTGTACTAAATACCGTAAGAACACAACCAGCAAAGTCCAGAATGTAAAAAAAACTCCAAGACACAAAACCCAATTTCTTCAACAAATATATTGCTAGAGGGGGGAAAAAATAGAGGGAGGAGGCCCCTACAGATTAAGAGTTAAATTAAGAGACATTTCAATCAAATGTAATGTGACCTTGTTTGGATCTTAATTCAAACTGTAAAAAAATACGTAAGGCAACCAGACAAATCTGAACACTGAACATTTTCTGACATTAGGAATCACTGCTAACTTTAAAAGCATGATAGTATTTAAAGTCAAAGAGAAATTCTTATCTTTTAGAGATAGCATTGAAATATTTACAGATAAAATTATATAAAGCTGGAATTAGCCTCAAAATAATCCAGTAGGGAGGAGAATACTGGATGTATTTATAAACAAATTAAGATTAGCTAAGAGTTGGTCATTTGTGATACTGGGTGATGAATACATGGTGGTTCACTATACTGTTTCTCTGCTCTTTATATGCTTGAAACCTTCAATAGTGAAATGACAGAAAGATGACAGCAAATAATCTGAACAGAGCTCAGTAACATGACACTTTGTTTAAAAACAGAGGTATGGCTTTACCTAAATGCAGAGGAAGCAGTGAACATTTAAAATATTCTAACAGCTCTGGCTGGTGTGGACTGAGTGCCAGCCTGCAAACCAAAGGGTCACCAGTTCAATTCCTGGTCGAGGCATATGCCTGAGTTGCAGGCTAAGTCTCCAGTGGTGGGTGAGCGAGAGGCAACCACATGGTGTCTCTCCCTCTTTTTCTCCCACCCTTCCCCTCTCTCTAAAAATAAATAGGCAAAGTTTTTAAATAAATAAAATATTCTAACAGAGCTTACTTTAAATTAAAATCTAGATTCCCATATGCAAAATATGCTTTATAACAATACCAATGAATTTTATCTTATTCTATATATAATCCACCAATCCAACCCTCTGCTTCAAGTATTTCCTTTATTTTTCCAACCCTACATTCCACCCAAATGGCTTGGGAAGCTTCAGCAACATCGTCTGTTCCCTCTTCATGGGCAATATACAGACTAATAACAAGTTATATATCCAATGTACAACTCTGTTAAAACCAAAAAGATCAAATATAAACTCCATTTTTCAAGTTGTAAGACTACATATTATTAGTCTTCAACTGACTAAGGACCCTAAGGTACTTATTTTTCAGATTAAATATATAACAGTCCAGAGAACAACTAATCTAAGATATAGTTAAGTACAGATCAAAGGATTTAGATAGAATCAGGGTTAGAAACTTGAAAATGAAGGTCAAATTTAGTCCAAAAAGTCCTTATTTGACCCACCAAGCATGAAATTTTATTTTTTAAAACCCAGATTTCTCTTTAAAAATTAGAGGTTTGGCAACCTATTTGCATTCTTGCATGGTAACAGTAGGCTGGAGTTGAACAGGGACTACCCACACCCCGTTCTTCAGAAGGCCGTCATCCTCAACACTTCCAGGGCTTGCGCTTAGCCTGCTTTACTTATTTATAGGACTTGCCTAGCCTCACCTAAACATTCTCACCTGTATTTCACCAGCTGCTGCTAGTATTTTCATGCTGGATGACTCATGCCAGAAACTAATAAAAGAATTCTACTCACATAGCCACCAGATGGCAAAGCTTACCACCAGAGCCTCAGGATGGAGTCATACTCATCCTCAAGCATTCCAGCATTCATGACAAAGCAAAAATAATCGTTCAACACAGCAGTTAATTTGGCAAGCCAAGAGAAAATGGCCTGAGGCTGCAACTGAGTAGGGGATCAAGGTCTATGGAACAAGGTCTAAGGCTATCTATCGCTTGTTAAACCATCCATTTTCTCACCAAAGCAACAAGCTCAGTCTCACCAACAGAAAAAGGTAAAAAAGGGCACTCCCACATGAATAAAAGGGAGAAAGGTAAACACCTTTACATATCTTAGTTCTTAAGAAACTCTACGTTAGATTCGGTACATTGTTAAATTCTTTATGTTGGAATTATATTTTAAGTTTTTTCCTCTCTTGATAAATCTTCCCCAGTACAGTGGCTTTGTATATTGAATTCCTCTAAATAGCAACCAGCTCTGGTTACCTGGCAACAGCCTCAGCAGCAGCAGTAGATCCGTTTTTTATTTCACCAATTGCAGGCTCTGAATAAAAACAAAAGCAAGGAAGAAAAAGAGAAATACAATTCATTTGGTATCATGCCTAAAAACTTGTTCTAATAGCATTTGCAACAAATAAAGAAATGGGTAAGAATAATAAGTGAAAATAAAAAGATTTCTGATAATGATACAAGTTTCTCTCACTGTCAATTTTTTTCAACCTTCCTACAGAAGACTAATCAGTTTGTCCAGAAATACAATGAAGCAGTAACATTTAAAAATGAAAATAAAACAACTTCTTAATCTCAACTCATGTCTTCTCATAGGATTCTAAATATATGTAGTAAAATATTTTTTAAAAAATAAAAAATTATGAAAGTTAAAAATCACAAATTCAAAACAAGAAACCTTTAATAAATTATGTAGGAAAATGACTTCAGTTGATGCACAAATTTTAAATAGTGTAAAGTTTTATGAGAACCCACACATAGAAGTATTCAAGTACTTCCCAATTAACAACAGATTACTGAAAAACAAAACACATTTTTAGTAATTAAGGGTGATACTGAAAAGAACCCCATATTTTCAAAGCAATGTCCTATGTCAAGGGATTAAAATTTATTCATTGACAATTTATTCCAGTCTCAGAAAAAAGTAACAAATATACTTAAATGTTTCTAAAAGTTCATGGCCCAGCATAACCTAAATAGTCCATCGAGGAGCCAGTGGAAGTTTAGTGGTTAGAGCCCTGCCTCTGAAACAGAACCGGGCACAGGCCCTGGCCCTGCACTTAGTAGTCCGACCTGGGAGTACATGCCTTCATCTTCTGGCTCAGTTTTCTCTTCTGTAAGAGAGATATGAGAGGACCAATCTCATAGGTTTGTTGTGAGGATGAAATGAGTAAAATTTCGAGTATGGTGCCTGATCCTATGCTCCTATTATCAGAAAAGGTGTTAACATTTACCCCCTTAACATTTAGCTCTATTTAAGATCTTTCCAATTGTAATTTCAAATCTGAAGATTTGAGGCTACCACATATTCTCTCCATAAGCCCTACTTGATTTCAGAAAAGATAATAATAAGGAGGGAAACATGTAAATTTTAATTTCTACTGAGGTTCTAAAGTTTCAATCAGTAAGAAATGAGAAGCAGGATAGCACTGTAATTTGAAACTGGACTTCCAATTCTTGGAACTACTTTGAATTCAGGCTACTGCATTTAACACCTGTATGCTTCAGTTTCCTCGTCTGTAAAATGAGGATAATAAGATCTTTACAAAGAGATAAAATTTCATAAGTTTGTTATGAGATTTAATAAGCTGTACATGTAAAAATGCTTGGTATATAGTAAGAACTCAAAATACATTAGCTAAAATGTCTTTTCTTTGTTCTCAGAGAATGACAAGTCCCTCTTATTCAAGTCCACCCACTCCATCTCTGGTCTTTGAAAGTCTTCCCTCCCAACTTTCTCAGGGCCCTAATCCATCAACTATTTCCCATACGGTCTCATTTAAAAAATTTTTAAATATACTTTATTGATTACGCTAATATAGTTTTCCCATTTTTTCTCCCCTTTGTACCTCTCCACCCTGCACCCACCATCCCTCCAGCATTCCCCCCTACCCCTTAGTTCATGCCCATGGGTCATACAGATAAGTTCTTTGGCTTCTGCATTTTCTATACTATTCTCAACCTCCCCCCATCTATTTTGTGCCTACCAGTTATGCTTCTTATTCCCTGTGCCTTTTTCCCCCATTCTCTCCTCTCCCTCTCCCCGCTGATAACCCACCATGTGATCTCCATTTCTGTGATTCTGTTCCTGTTCTGGTTGTTTGCTTTGTTTTTGTTTTTGTTTTTTAGGTTCAGTTGTTGGTAGTTGTGACTTTGTTGTCATTTTACCGTTCATAGTTTTGATCTTGTTCTTTTTTTTTAGATAAGTCCCTTTAACATTTCGTGTAATAAGGGCTTGGTAATGATGAACTCCTTTAACTTGACCTTATCTGGGAAGCACTTTTTCTGCCCTTCCATTCTAAATGACAGCTTTGCTGGATGGAGCAATCTTGGATGTAGGTCCTTGCCTTTCATGACTTGGAATACTTCTTGCATGCCCCTTCTTGCCTGCAAAGTTTCTTTTGAGCAATCAGCTGATAGTCTTGTGGGAACTCCCTTGTAGGTAACTCTCTCCTTTCCTCTTGCTGCTTTTTAAGATTCTCTCCTTATCTTTAATCTTGGGTAATGTAATTATGATGTGCCTTGGTGTGGGCTTCCTTGGGTCCAACTCCTTTGGGACTCTGAGCTTCCTGGACTTCCTGGAAGTCTATTTCCTTCACCAGATTGGGAAAGTTTCCTTCATTATGTTTTCAAATGAGTTTTCAAATATTTTGCTCTTCCTCTTCTCCTCCTGTCACCCCCTGTGATTCAGATGTTGGAACGTTTAAAGCTGTCCTGGAGTTTCCTCAGCCTCTCCTCATTTTTTTTGAATTCTTGTTTCTTCATTCTGTTTCAGTTGGGTGTTTAATTCTTCCTTCTGCTGCAAATTGTTGATTTGAGTCCCGGTTTCCTTCCCTTCACTGTTGGTTCCCTGTATATTTTCCTTTACTTCACTTTGCATAGCCTTCATTTCTTCCTTTATTTTGCGAGCATACTCAATCATTTCAGTGAGCATCCTGAGTACCAGAGTTTTGAACTCTGCATCTGATAGGTTGACCATCTCCTTGTTGCTTACTTCTTTTTCTGGAGCTTTGATCTGTTCTTTCATTTGGGCCCTATTTCTTTGTCTTGGTGCACCTGTTCCACTGTTTGGGGTGGAGCCTTAGGTATTTGCTAGGGTGGGGCAACCCACTTTGCTATGTTGTGGTGCTGTATGTGGGAGAGGCGTCAGAGAGAGAACAATGCCACTTGCTGGCTTGCTCAGCTCTCACCCTGCTTTCAGTCACTTTCCTTGCTTCCCACAAATGTATTGGGCCCTTCTGGTGCTGATTCCTGGGTGTGTGGGCTTGTGTAGTTCTAGGATCCTGTGGGTCTCTCCAACCGACTCTCCTGTGAGACTGGGAGTTTCTCCCACCACCACAACCCCCACAGATTTTTACAGTCAGAAGTTTTGAGGCTTTATTTCCCCGTGCTCGAACCCTGGGTTGTATGGGCTGTCTCTCTCCGCAGTTGTTCCTCTTGGCTTATCAGCCTGCGAATGTTGGACTGCCCAGTCTGCCAGCCATAGCCTTGTGGCTCATCCACTCTGCCTCGGCTCCCCATCTCCAACCGTCCTACCAGTCTGAATGAATGTTTCTTCTTTAACTCCTTGGTTGTCGGACTTCCATACAGTTCGATTTTCTGTCAGTTCTGGTTGCTTTTGTTTTAAAATTGGTTGTTGTCTTTCTTTTGGTTGTGTGAGGAAGCCAACCGTGTGTACGTATACCTCCATCTAGGCTAGGAACCATATTCCCTCATTTTTAATCCATCTTTTTTTGAAGTTTTCCTTTCAGTCTATAAACCTGTTTAGGCATCTCTAAACCTAAAAATGAAAAATCGCCTTTAATCTTGCATTTCCCTCTAACTCATCAGATTTTTAACAAAAACTATTCAAAAGTAGAATACATCTGCTGCCTCTTCTCCCCTTTATTCCTTAATTACCTTCAGTATAGCTCCCACCCAAACCATTATACTTAAATAGTTCTTGCTAGAGTCACCAAATGGATCTTAATTGCCAAATCCAATGTACATTTTTAGAAATATCTTACTAGACCTCACCTCTGCATCTGACATTGTTTTCTTCTAGCAACTCTCCTCCCCATAACCTTCCATGCATGGCTTTATACTCTCCTAGTCCTCTTCTCTGACTGATCTTTCACAGTCTCTTTTAAGACTTGTTCCTCTTCTAACTCCATTACACACTATTTACAAACTACTAAGTAAAAAAAGATTATAAGCTTTGGAATCAGATCTGATTCAAACTCCAGCTCTACTTTCTACCAATTACTGTGACAACAGATATACAACTTAGAAACTTCTCTCTGTCTGTTTTGTCATCAATAGAATGGAAATAAGGGTATCTACTTTGGAGTGCTATTATGACAATATAGATGTAGAGTCATCCTGTATTTTTTCCCTCCCCCTTTCTTTTATATTCACAAATGGTTCCAAGTTGTCCCTATTCTACTATTAACCTCTCAAATTCATCCCTCATCTCTATGCCCACCCCACTTCCAGTCTTTAACTAGGAAGTCTCAGTCTTAACTAGGAAGTTAAAGACTGAGTTAGCCAGGCAGAATAATAAGAAATGGGCAAGGCAAGGAATGATGCATAAAAATGTAACTTTTGAAACACTAAGCTGATCCTGTTAAAAAATCAAATCTAATCACACTACTCCCTGGACTACAATTTTACAGCTTTTCAGCGTGATATAAAAGGCCTTTCAGAATCTGGACTCTACTTTGCAGCAACTCCTTGTATCTTCCCTTATTTTAGTCATATCAAACAACTTGGAATTAATGTGAGAAATAGTCAACATAAGCCTACAATGTGAATCCACAATCTTAAATTTTCTACCTTCTTCTGAACTGTTACTGAATATGGAAACCAATTACTTAGTATCAACACAGTTTAAAATAGAGATACAACCGGAGCCATAAAGGTTATAAAATGAAGCATCTTCAGTAACACAAGTGACAGGCCAAAAACAAAGAATTAAATCTGTGAGAGTAAGTTTTACAAATGTATTTATAATTATAAAAGTATCAATCACTATTACTAGAAGAAATATAATCATTACTTCTCAGATGATATGGAGCTACTAATTACCCAAGATTAACATAAAAATAAAACTTACTTTCTAGACTAAACTGCAAAGACTCTTCGCTTGCCTCAGTCTCAGGACTGACCAGTTTCATTCTTAGACACAATTTTTCATCCGTTTCGGGGACAGTCCCAGAACCTCCTTTTTCATTCCCAGGTATAGGATCATTGGTCTCCACCATGCTTTCAGACATGACATCACTGTTTGCTGTGGTGCTTTCTGGATAGTTGCTAATATCTGGAAGGGAGGCAGGAGGAAGAAAGAAAGAAAGAAAGAAAGAATACTAAAATACAAACAAAAAACAATAATTCAAGGTCATCAATTTGCCCGTTTGGCTCCACAGCTCTGCAGGATTGAAGGGGGTTCCTAGGATAGACCCTGTCACATGTATCAACAACTACACACTAGTATTAACACCTGGTCTTAAGAGGAGCAACAGGATTCAGTTCCACTTCTGCATCTGGACAAAGGATGCTGCATGAGCCCTCAGCCAACCCACATCTGCCAGCATCAGGCATAGGTAGCAGGAGACTCCAGACGGCATGATTGTTACCTCCCAGCACTGACTAGAGAAAACAAATAGGTTAATGTAGAAGACTACTGGCTGCTTCAGAGAAGGAGGATCTACATTTTCTTGCCCTGTCAAACAGTAAATTGACCATCCAGGGTACTAAATTAATAGTACTTTTACCCTACCTGCTGTCCCTTCCTTATATGACAACTCTATATCATTGCTTAGCACTCAGATTCTATCACCTTGCAAGTAACAGAATAAAATATTTATATATTTTTTTCTTTCTTCCTTCTACACTTTCTTTCCTTTCATCACCACTCAATATCTCCTGGGAGTAAACATGAAATCAGATATCACAGGCTTATTCTTCCTAAGACAAAAATCAACCTTATGAGGAAGGTCCAACTCCTCAGATCTAAAAGAAATCCCTTGCATAAAAATTGTCTCTAAAAAATTCTGCTTTAAATGACATTACATTTTAGTCACTCACCAATAGGAGTACTGTGTCTCCTGGGCTCCAATTTTAGGTGCCCAATAAGAGGTGGAGTCGTGCCAGTCAATGGTGGGATAATATCACCTTCTTTAGGCAAAGTGAAATGAAATGGAGTTTCTAGAAGGGAAAGAATAAAGGTAAACAAGAAGGAAACCAAAACAGAAGCATAAAAAAGCAAAAGTGAGGAGAATTGCAAGAAATATTTAAATTATTATTTTCCCAAATTCTGCCTCATTCCCAAGCCCCCTTTCACCAGGCCTCCCAACCAATTTCCTATTGTCCTCTCTGTTTTCCTTTCAGCCATCAACAAGACTGACAGAGAGCAGGCAACCACAGGATGGGCAAACAAAGGAAGCCCAAAGTTTGGAGGCCCTGTGGAACATGGGGTCCAAGTGAACGTAGAAACATCTAAGCTCCAAGAGAGTACATTTGGGAATACTCAGTGATACAAATTTGGAGAGTTTCAAGTCTATACATTTTAATTTTGTGCAATGTTAATCCAAGAGGTTCGTTTATAAACTTTAGCAATCTGTAGGATCCTCCTGATTGAAGTCTGATGGTAATACTTATAATTTATAGTCTATTCGAAAAGGTGACAAAGGATCTCAAGGGCCAAAGTACTTTAAAATACTCCTTGGTTCTAACAAAAAATCTATAGGTTTCATGGTTCAGCAGTACTGACCAGCATTCACTCTAGATCACAGTACTAATACTCATATCTACATCTCTGCACAACTGCAAATCTCACGTATATGAGCATTCCAGTACACACATTTTTGTTTAGTCATTATAAAATTAACATAAACATAAAACATTTGACAAGATACCAAAAAACTTTGACAAGAGACAAATTCTGAGATGCCCTAAATTAAATTACAACAGACTGCAGGGTGGGAGGAAGAGGTAAGTGGTTAACCAGTTAATTTAGCCTCAGACTAAAACCAACAAAACACTCACATTCCAGATGTTAAAACTCTGAATCAACTTTCAGGTGGCTATCTAAAAAACACTGACCACCAAACACATCTGCATCCTGCTTATGTTTATGTTGCCCATAACTAGTTCAGAAGCAGTAAATATTTCTTTTTTATGGACTATGCCTCCATCCTATAACTGCCCCCCACCCCTACTGCCCTTCACCTTTTCCTGTCCTTATGACAGCCAATTCTTTCAAAACAACGTACCATCTTTCTTCCCTCACGGTGTGTCCCGGGACCTGATACTTTTTCTGGCTAGTATATGGCTTAATAAACTCTTTCCTTCAGAAAAGCTCTCAACTGCAAAGGTTTTTGATTAACATTACTTTTTAATTAGGTCACAGTTCCAAATTTTTAATAAGCAAAATTAGCGCATTGCCAAAATCACATTTTCTGATTTTCTACTTGCTCACCTCTTTTAATAAAATGACTAAGTTTGGAAGAAAAAAAGAATTGTGACAGACTGCTCCTCTTAAACCTAACACATGAAAATTTGTACTTATCCTGGGTGGCTCAAAATAACTATGATCTGTCATACTAGTCACTACTTGTGAAAAGAATTTGCTTAATACCTTTTCCAACACCACCAAGCAATTCTCACATTCTCAGGATATTGACGGGTATCCTAAAAATATAACTCAATTCTGATACTCTACCTGGAGATAGCACCAAATCCCACAAGTTAAAGGCTCAGTCCCACAAGAATGCCCCCACATCAGATGCCAATCACCAAGTCCAAGTTTGTTCCCTGTGCTATACCTTGTTACCAACTGGCTATATATTATAGATTCCATAACCTCCTCTTCAGGTTCAATTAATCTCCTAGTGGCACTCAGGGTACTCAGAGAAACATTTACTTACGTTTACCAGTTTATTATAAAGACACAGATTAACAGCCATACACAGGGTGTATGGCTGTACACAGGGTGAGGTCCAGAGGGTTCTGATAGCAGGAGATTGGAACTGGGATGAGACACCATCCGGGATCATTTACTAACTAAGAAGCTTATCTTGTTCAAGAGTTTTTTAGAGCATTCATCCCCAGCCCTCCCCTCACAGGCAGCAATCGGTAGGGTTGAAAGTTCCAACCTTGGTCTTTCCGGAGAACAGCCCCATCCTGAGGCTACCTAGGAATATACCCTAAATCACCAATTAGCACAAACCCAGGTGTGACTAAAAAAGCAGGTTCTGGATAATAAAAGATATTCCTTTCACCTGAAAAATTACAATGGTTTAAGAGCTCTATACAAGAAGCTGAAGGCAAATATCTCTCTTAATATACCACATTTTCTTCTTCCATCTTTTCCCACTCTACTCACAGCCTTCATTACCTTCAATAAAGCACTTTATACTGTTTTTTTCCTTCAAAATCACAAAACAACAACAAAATATCTTTTACACCTACATGTAAGAGAAAAACAAATTAGTGATCTGAAGGGATGGAAAAAGAAAATGAAATGGACTTTAGAAAAAAAGGATGAAAAGTATACATGCTTGGCTAAAAGGAACTGTAAAGACTAGAACTGGAAATTTTCAACATCACATTTAAATAGCAAAGAACGCCACCGTAGCTATAGAATAAGAGAAATAGGTCAGTAGACAAGCATTCATTCTCTGGCAGCTTCTTAAAAAGCAAGTTCTGAGTTTTGTCAAAGATGGAGGTATACGTACACACGGTTGGCTTCCTCACACAACCAAAAGAAAGACAACAACCAATTTTAAAACAAAAGCAACCAGAACTGACAGAAAATCGAACTGTATGGAAGTCCGACAACCAAGGAGTTAAAGAAGAAACATTCATTCAGACTGGTAGGACGGTTGGAGATGGGGAGCCGAGGCAGAGTGGATGAGCCACAAGGCTATGGCTGGCAGACTGGGCAGTCCAACATTCGCAGGCTGATAAGCCAAGAGGAACAACTGCGGAGAGAGACAGCCCATACAACCCAGGGGTTCGAGCACGGGGAAATAAAGCCTCAAAACTTCTGACTGTAAAAAATCTGTGGGGGGTTGTGGTGGTGGGAGAAACTCCCAGTCTCACAGGAGAGTCGGTTGGAGAGACCCACAGGATCCTAGAACTACACAAGCCCACACACCCAGGAATCAGCACCAGAAGGGCCCAATACATTTGTGGGAAGCAAGGAAAGTGACTGAAAGCAGGGTGAGAGCTGAGCAAGCCAGCAAGTGGCATTGTTCTCTCTCTGACGCCTCTCCCACATACAGCACCACAACACAGCAAAGTGGGTTGCCCCACCCTAGCAAATACCTAAGGCTCCACCCCAAACAGTGGAACAGGTGCACCAAGACAAAGAAATAGGGCCCAAATGAAAGAACAGATCAAAGCTCCAGAAAAAGAAGTAAGCAACAAGGAGATGGTCAACCTATCAGATGCAGAGTTCAAAACTCTGGTACTCAGGATGCTCACTGAAATGATTGAGTATGCTCGCAAAATAAAGGAAGAAATGAAGGCTATGCAAAGTGAAGTAAAGGAAAATATACAGGGAACCAACAGTGAAGGGAAGGAAACCGGGACTCAAATCAACAATTTGCAGCAGAAGGAAGAATTAAACACCCAACTGAAACAGAATGAAGAAACAAGAATTCAAAAAAATGAGGAGAGGCTGAGGAAACTCCAGGACAGCTTTAAACGTTCCAACATCTGAATCACAGGGGTGACAGGAGGAGAAGAGGAAGAGCAAAATATTTGAAAACTCATTTGAAAACATAATGAAGGAAACTTTCCCAATCTGGTGAAGGAAATAGACTTCCAGGAAGTCCAGGAAGCTCAGAGTCCCAAAGGAGTTGGACCCAAGGAAGCCCACACCAAGGCACATCATAATTACATTACCCAAGATTAAAGATAAGGAGAGAATCTTAAAAGCAGCAAGAGGAAAGGAGAGAGTTACCTACAAGGGAGTTCCCACAAGACTATCAGCTGATTGCTCAAAAGAAACTTTGCAGGCAAGAAGGGGCATGCAAGAAGTATTCCAAGTCATGAAAGGCAAGGACCTACATCCAAGATTGCTCCATCCAGCAAAGCTGTCATTTAGAATGGAAGGGCAGAAAAAGTGCTTCCCAGATAAGGTCAAGTTAAAGGAGTTCATCATTACCAAGCCCTTATTACACGAAATGTTAAAGGGACTTATCTAAAAAAAAGAACAAGATCAAAACTATGAACGGTAAAATGACAACAAAGTCACAACTACCAACAACTGAACCTAAAAAACAAAAACAAAAACAAAGCAAACAACCAGAACAGGAACAGAATCACAGAAATGGAGATCACATGGTGGGTTATCAGCGGGGAGAGGGAGAGGAGAGAATGGGGGAAAAGGCACAGGGAATAAGAAGCATAACTGGTAGGCACAAAATAGATGGGGGAGGTTGAGAATAGTATAGAAAATGCAGAAGCCAAAGAACTTATCTGTATGACCCATGGGCATGAACTAAGGGGTAGGGGGAATGCTGGAGGGATGGTGGGTGCAGGGTGGAGAGGTACAAAGGGGAGAAAAAATGGGAAAACTATATTAGCGTAACCAATAAAATATACTTTAGAAAAAGACTGAAAATAAAAAGAAGCAAGTCCTTTAGGTTAATACAGAAAAATTTAGAAGATAGAATCTAAAGAACAAAAAACATGACCCCAAAAAATCTCACAAAGCATCATACATTCCAAATATATATTTTAAAGATTTTTTCATTCCTGGAACAGTCATCTGCACTACACTGCTCTCTTGACAGGAACTATCCCTCACAGTATGATCTACTATACAGACTTTCTAAAATCTGTGTGATCTTTCAGTATTTCCTTCTATGCAACAAACCATAATATGAAAGTCTAATGTACAAGCATTAAAAATTATTTAAAATTATTTCCCTGTTTCTTTTGCATAGTACTACGTAAAAACTTACTGGTATGAAAGTTATTTTAACACCATTGATACAACTGCATTATTACAGCCTAATGGAAAACTGAGTCTTTTACCGGGAGCACTAACACAACATTTACCTGGTCTTCAATGTCTCATTCCTGGATTATTACAGCAGCCTGTCAATTATTTTCTCTGCCTTAAGTCTCCTCCTCCCCCAACCCCCAATACTTTCTGCACACTTGACTTTGAACACATTAGCTCCTGGTCAAAA